GCCGACTCACATCCTGATCGTGTTTTGTAAGTTGCCTTCAGCTGACACATCGAGAGTAGGCGGGGGGCGGGCAGAGCGGCGGGGAGACCCGTGGGGGAGACTGCCACAGATGGAGCTGGGGATGCTGGGCCTGGAACTGCAGTTGCCATGGCAACTGGGGAGCTGTGGGCGGATGCCAGGACTATGCAGGAGCAGAGCTGCAGGTCTCGCTGTAATGGTATTTCGCTGGGGCAGGGCTGGTCAGACACCCCCCAAAAAGCTTGGCGTGAGCCCCCCAGGAAGGGGCAGGGTGCCTGAGTCTATGTCGGACCATATCAGACACAGTAGGTGGCTCTGAGGCTTGGGCCGGGCCCCCGGTGGACAGTGGTCATCCGGTGTGTGGCCGGCTGGGCTGCGATGGTGCCTCCACAGACGGGGCGGGTGGGGGGAGGGAGGCAGTGGTCCTCAGGTGGTGGGGTGCGGGGACACCCTCTCGTTCTGTCCTGATGATTCCTCGCTGGCTCATCAGATGATAGGCTTCTAACTGTGGAAAGGCCTAGAGTCCTTGTTTAATAGGAAACCTGGGACTAGAGTACAGGATCTTAGGTAACCCTGGATGCTGGCCACTCCCCAAATTTCTAGAGTATTCTCTCTAATGAGAGATGGGTGCGACGGACCAGCTTGGCCGGAGCACTGGGACTGACGGGATGGGGATCTCGGGATAGGTGGGCAAAGAGTCGGCCAAGTGACAGACACAGACTCAAAAGAGTTGCATCTGAGTGTATCTTTTTTTTTTTTTTTTTTTTTTTTTGGTGGGGGGGGGGGTGGGGGGAAGGTCCGGTCGTGGGGCCTGAACTCTGGGCCTGGGCACTGTCCCTCAGCTCTTCAGCTCGAGGCTAGCGCTCTATCACTTGAGCCACAGCGCCACTTCTGGCTTTTTTTCTTTTTGCTTATGTGGTGCTGGGGAATCGAACCCAGGGCCTCATGCATGCAAGGCAAGCGCTCTACCACTGAGCCACCTTCCCAGCCCCTGAGTGTATCTTTATTGAGGAGAATTAACATTTTTATAGTGTGTGATTGTGACATAGATTCTTTATTTAAGCACATAAGCAATTTTTAAGAAAAGCGAAGTGTTAATGGGTTACATGAAAATTGATGACTATCCCACCAGCTGTTTGAGCTAAGTGGTGCGAGACAAGTCTAGCATATTGTTTAATACAATGCCTCATCTATTCAGCCTTTTTATGTTTAACAATTAAGAAACTTAAGACAGGGCTGTACGTATATTGTACTCTTTTTATTTTTTCCATATATCTTCAAGTCCCTTTGAAACCATCCTAGAAACCACTTCCAGGTTGAGTCAGGCATTCTCCATTTCCTATTATTTTAATCCCAATATTTGTTTACATAAATTTCTAATTGTATTTTAAACTATCTTGTTTTATTTTGATAATAAACACCATAATGGTCTAAAGCTTACCTAATCTTTGCATAAAATCTAATGAGTACTAAGATACTCTTTTTCCTTTTACATTAATCCATCTATTTTCATCTTTATAAACTCCTGTATAAGGCAATGGTTCATCGGTCAGCTCAGGAAATGTGATGTCACTAACTTTATATTTTGTGGGAAACCACCGTCTATTCCCTATAACGTAAGCTGGACCAAACTTAGTCATAACTATTGGGGGAATCTTTCTTTTCCTTTTATTATTAGGGGTCCCTTTTTTTATAACTCTCTGTGCTTCTGGGATAACTCCTGGTTTAGTTTAATTCATTAATTCTTCCTGTTGTAACCTATCTGGAAATTTTAAATTTCTATATTTACTATGAGCTGCAACTGCTTGTGAAGTTGCAGAAGCTTCTGGAGGCAGAATCACCTCAGATGATAGATTGATTGGGGCATTGTCCACATTTAATCTTTGGTCCTAGTCTTTATTATTCAGAAAAGCCGTCTCTATTGGACTGGAAAGAAACAACATGCTCTGTTTGCGGATCAATAGAAAAATAGCCAAAATGAGAATAAAGGCAACGAATGTACTGCCGAGAAGATTATAATAAGAATAAAGGTAGAGGCAATAAAGGTGCAGCTAAGTGTATAGGAAGCCTTGCACCAACACCCCCTTCCTGCAGGCATGCTTCCTTGAAGCTTATGCTTTGCCTGACGCGATCTCTCACTCAGATTCCGCAGGAGGTGGCATGGCAGATGGGGCCAGGGCACCCCAGGGAAGCAGAGCTGGGCTCCTAGCGAGGCTGAGTCTCTCTGCCTGTGTGGTCCTGATACCCTGTCCCCCCCTCACGCTTCCCCCCTTTAAATTCAAAGGCCAAGCTGACCTTCCGCAGTCCCCCATCCAAGAGGACCAAGAAGTATGCAGCAGGGTGGACGAGGCCTTCTCTGCACGGAGTCATTCCCTGAGCAGCGAAGGTGGGCGTGAGTCCACATCCTCCAATTATCCCCCTCCTGCCCGCCGTGAGCGCTTAGATAACCATCGTGGGCCACAGGATGAGTGCTGGAACAATGCTGGCCTCCCGGGCTATTTTTACAGCGGTGGCCGTGGGCCGGCCGAGCCCCGCGCCTGGTCCCGAGGGAGCCGGGCAGAGAAAGGCCGTGCGGATGCCCCGCCAGACGGAGGAAGAGCTCCGTGGGCTGCCCGGTGGCTCCAGGAAGCCTTTCTGGGTCTGCTGGCTGTCAGATAGTGAAACAATTGGGGTCCCCCGCCCCGAGGGAGCCCGGGAGAGGAAAGAGGCGTGGGGGAAACGGGCTTGTTGTGCCTCTGCTCCTGGAGCCCCCAGAGGCCGGACTGCTGGGCGAGGTCGGCACGTTCCCCTTAGGCCGCCCTCCAGGCTCCGAGGCCAGGGCTCATCACGCCCCGCAGAGCTGAGGTTTGCATTTGACGCTGGCTGCTGGTGGGGCTCGGCTGGGAACCGGCCACCCAGCTGTGCTTTCCTGATGGCCTACGTGTGCCAGGAGAAGGACCGGGCACGGTGGCCAGGTCTTTGTCTCCATGAGTTCTGTTTGAGTCACCAAGGAGACAGCTAGGAGGGGGCAAACCAACTGTCTGGCCTCAGGGAGAGCCAAATGAGGGGAGCCGCACAGGAATTCCCTGGTGCCCTCCGGGGTGGCGTCCGAGGTAGGGGTGGTGGGAAGGAGGAGCGAGGATGGAGACTCGCAGGCTGTCTGTGGAAGGGACAGCTGCGCTTGCGCCAGCTTGCTTGCGGCCATGTGTTCTGACCTATTTTCTCAAGAGACCCTTGAAATCATTACTCTTCTCTGAAGTCTGGTATTTCTGCGTTGGCCGCTGATGTGGATCAGGAAAACAGAGCACGTGCCCCAGGCTGCCTGGCTGGAGTTGGCCGTGTTCACTGCGGTTCATTCTATCCTCCAGAGCGGGAAACCGAGGCTCAGGGGAAAGCAGGAGAGGCCTGCGGCTCTGGGTCTCCCAGCTGTCCCTGACCCCTGATGTGAGCTGCAGGTGGAGCTCTGTGGGGGAACCTGGCCCTGGCACGGTCCTCCGGTGGCAGGTGCGTCCTCCTCGCGCACGGACATGTGGCTGGCTGTGGTCCTCAGGCCTGAGCTCCCGGGAGAGTGAGTCCTGGAACCTGAGAAGCAGGAGTCTGTGCCCTGACTCTGGCAGACCTTTCTAGAGCTGGGGTCGGAGCACCTATGGCCTGGGGTCATGAACCAGCCCCAGGGGCTTAGGCCTCCCTCTGGCCAAGGCAGCTGGGGGCCAGAGGGCAAGAGAGCTGATCAAGGGGCACCGGGCAGGCTGAGATGACCGGCAAGCAGTCTTCCTTCTCTTTGGTGCTGGGGATGGAGCCAAGGCCTTCTTCATATGTGCTGGGCAAGCGCTTGTTCCTGAACCGCACCCTCAGCCCACGGAAGCACTCTTGCAGGACTCAGTGAAGATACCCTAGCTTCCTGCTACACATATGGGGCTCATTAATAAGTTGCAAATCCATTTCATAGATACCCACTGTCTGCACTCTGGCAACATCCCAAATATCCACGTCTTTGCATCCACAAACTGACTTTTCCCATGTGTCATGTGCAGTGCTCATACATTGCTAAGAACTGTCATTTTATTTCTTCTTCCTCTTCTTCTTCTTCTTCCTCCTCCTCCTCCTCCTCCTCCTCCTCCTCCTCCTCCTCCTCCTCCTCCTCCTCTTCCTCCTCCTCTTCTTCTTCTTCTTCTTCTCCCTCCTCCTCCTCCTCCTCCTCCTCCTCCTCCTCCTCTTCCTCCTCTTCCTCCTCTTCCTCTTCTTCCTCTTCCTCTTTCCCTCTTCCTCTTCCTCTTTCCCCCTCCCTCTCCCTCTTTCCCTTTCCCTCTATTCCCCCCCCTCCTCTTAGCTACAGTTTGAATTCAAAGCCTTGTACTTGCTAGGCAAGTAGCCCTCTTTGATTTATTTTTCAGGTAGAGTCTCACATTTTGCCCAGGCCCAGATGTGGAGCACCTACTTAACCCTCCCACATAGATGGTGTGACAAATGTGAGACACCACATCTAGCCTGTTAGTTGAGGTAGAACATTGCTGCCTTTTTGCCTAGGCTGTCTTTGAACTAAAATCTTGCTGATCTCCACCTCCTGAATAGCTGAGATTACAAGTGTGAGCTGCTATGCCCTGCCAAGTTGTCATTTCCTATACAGATCTCAAGTCAGAAGACAGGATCTCTCCTGTGTGAACTGCAGGCAGGCAGCCTGTTACTGGCTGTGTTCTACTCTGTGGAAGGTGGTGCTGGGTTAGGGTGGGGGTCCAGGGGGCTGGCCTCCGTGCTCCCCCTTGTCTTCTACTTATCAAGTATCCGGGAATTGGAGCCTGTTGCCTCCGGTTTGCAAGTGTGCCCAATGCAGTGAAGCTCTCCGTCCCTAGAGAGACCCCAATGGCTCCTCCTGTGGACTGAAGGGGGAAGGGCCCCCCCCCAGCCCAGAAGGTGGGAGCTGCTCATCGGGAGGCAGGGGAGGCTGTCCCCAGGCACCGTGGTGGCCTTGGTAACCCTACGTTGTCCTGCTCTGTCCTGCGCAGAGAGCGAGGACATGGCCACCAAGGAGAAGCTGCAGTGTCTCAAAGACTTCCACAAGGACATCCTGAAGCCATCTCCAGGAAAGAGCCCGGGCACGCGGCCTGAGGACGAGGCCGAGGGCAAGCCCCCCCAGCGAGAGAAGTGGGCCAGCAAGATCGACTTTGTGCTGTCTGTGGCCGGAGGCTTCGTGGGTTTGGGCAATGTCTGGCGTTTCCCGTATCTCTGCTACAAAAATGGTGGAGGTGAGTCTGAAGTGGGCTGCGTCTGGAGCCGGGGGTGACCTGCAGGTGGAGGCCAGGGCAGGGCAGCTTCTGTGTGCGGGTCAGCCTGCCTTTCCCCTGTGCTGCCCCCGCCAGCCTCGCGGTGACACGGAGCATCGGCTGTGTTACCTTGGGCAGCCAAGCGGATCCTCTAGCTTGCTTGTCAGGTCCCTGTTGCCCAGACCTCATTCACAGCCCCATTCCTCCTGTGTGCCGTATTTATGTGCCTCTTTTTACCTGCTTCTGTTTTTCCAAGTGACCCTCATACAGTCAAGAGAGTTACGTTCCCATCCTACACAGTGTAGAGAGAGATGCAGGGTAAGGAAGACATAATGAATATGTATATATATATATATATATATATATATATATTTTTTTTTTTTTTTTCCTGTGTATGTGTTCTTTTGGGGACTTGAACTCAGGGCCTAGGTGTTGTCCCGGAGCTTTTGTGCTCAAGGCAAGCACTGTACCACTTGAACCACAGCTCCACGTCTAGCTTTTTGTTGGTTAATTAGTGGTAAGTCTCATAGCTGGGCTGCTGTGGCTCACACCTGTCATCCTAGCTACTCAGGAGGCTGAGATCTGAGGATCATGGTTTAAAACCAGCCTGGGCAGGAAAGTCTGTGAGACTCTTAACTCCAAATAATCACAGGAAAAAAAGCTGGAAGTGACATTGTGGCTCAAGTGGTGGAGCTCTAACCTTGAGCAAAAAGGAGCTCCGAAGCCAGGTGCTGGTGGCTCAGGCCTGTAATCCGAGGTACTCTGGAGGCTGAGATCTGAGGATCAGTTTGAAGCCAGCCCCAGTAGGAAATCTGTGAGACTCTTATCTCTAACAGACTACACTGAAAAAGCTGAAAGTAGCACTGTGGCTTTAGTGGTAGAGAGCTAGCCGTGAGCACAAAGTGGTTCAGGGACAGCTCCAGGCCCTGAGTTCAAACCCCAGAACCAGCAAAAAAGAAAATGAAAAAAAAGTCTCAGATTTTTCCTCCCGGGCTGGCTTTGAACCGTGATCTTCAGATCTTAGCCTCCTGAGTAGCTAGATTAGAGGTGTGAGCCACCGGCGCCTGGCAATGAAGATAATTTATCAAATGTAAGGTCTCGGCCTAGAGGGTCTGGTTAGTTGGTGGGTTCAGGTTTGGATGTTTTGGTTTGGTAGTTCTGCCTGCTAAGGGTCCTGGGGGAGGTGTCAGTCGGGCAGCACTGGCTCCCTGAGAGGTTGGAGGTGACCTGGGCCTTGCAGGGCAGCAGAAGTGGGCGTGGCCTGCATTCTGCTGGGCTAGGAGAGCCACCTTTTGGGGACTTCTGTCTTAGAGCTTGTCTCTTTATTTATTTATTTATTTTTTATTGTAAAGATACTATACAGAGGGTTACAGTTACATAAGTGAGGTAATGAGTACACTTCCTCTTGAACATTGTTACCCCCTCCATTGTTTTCCCTCTACCATCCCCTCCCTCCCTCCCTTCCCCGAGGTTCTTTTTTTTTTGATTGTGATTAATTGATTACATAATTTCAAAGTCACAAGTTCATTCTAACTTTCCTGGAGCAAATTGTCTATCACAGTCTGTAATATATAACAGTGTTCACACGTTATATACAATATTTGTGATCAGCAGCATGGGGATATTTAGTAGTGGTTCAACCAGATGAGCGGGAGTTCTTTGTTTCTTAAGTCCTATTAGTTTTGTCGTATCACCTAACATTTGGATTTAACATCCACTTATCAGGGAGACCATGTACTGTTTGTCTCTTCGTTCTTGGCTTACCTTGCTCAACATGATTCCTTCTAGCTCCATCCATTTCCCTGCAAATGCCATTATTTTGTCATTTCTAATGGCTGCATAATATTCCATTGTGTATAGATACCACAATTTTTGGATCCATTCATCTGTGGTGGGGCATCTAGGTTGTTTCCATATCCTAGCTATTGCGAACAGTAGAGCTTGTCTCTTATCCTTTCATAGGTATCTGGTTCCTTTGGGGCTCTGAGTGTCCTGGACGCTCCCAGAGCAAAGCCTACATACAGACCTTCCATGCTTAGATAGCTTCTAAGGGCTGTGGGCCTGCTGAAGCCACTAGTGGACATCTGTGTCCTCCTCCCCCACCTGGCATCATGGCCCCACGCCGGGGCCACCCCCTTGGCTTCTCACCGGGGCCCCTCCTACATCTCCCCGCTGCTGGCTTTGGTGTAGGAGTCCCGATCCCTGGGCCTAGCTGTCCCTGTTCAGAGGGACACTGTGGAGAAGGCAGGCAGGTGGAGGCCCAGCTTACACGAGGCATCTGCCAAGATGTGGTAGATTTCGAGATACGGGCAGAGGCGGGCACATCGACAGGAGGATGGTGGGGTGGAGGGGAAGAAGGGCTGAGCCCGTGGAAAGGTCATCAACCAGCTCCAGTGGCTGGGGGCTTGGCAGGTAGTGCCCTCACCTCCTTCCCGCGGCACTCCGACCTCGCCTCACCCCTCTGCTCCCCGCAGGTGCGTTTCTCATACCGTATTTCATCTTCCTGTTCGGGAGCGGCCTGCCCGTGTTTTTCCTGGAGGTCATCATAGGCCAGTACACCTCAGAAGGGGGCATCACCTGCTGGGAGAAGATCTGCCCCTTGTTCTCTGGTGAGTGTGGGGCCAGGCCCCTGGGCTGGGGCGTCTCCTCTGCCAGGCGTCAGGCCCTTGCCACCCAGGGAGGCTGCACTGAGAGCAGAGAAGGGGCCACGGCACACGCCGGGCACACGTGGCCGCTCTGCATGGCCACGCTGAGCCTGCCCCTCAGACACCAAGAGCTCTAGCCAGGCCAGGAGGTTCTGTCCGGGTTCAAGACCCACTTCCTCCACTTCAGTTTGGTGACTTTGGGCATATCACATTCCTGCAGCTTCCTCATTTCTGAAATAAAAATACCGTGCTGACCTTCACAGTGTGAGTCACATGCAGCAGCCCAAGTGCACAGCGAGCACCCGATGAATGGTGGCCTCGCTGGCCCTGTGCGGAGTACTTACTGTGCGCAAGAACGTTAGAATGTCAAGTATGAGAGTCTCTAACGTCAGTCGCTTGTGCAAACATCTGTCCATACCTTAACCCTTTCCTCCACTAAACCATTAAAAAATTAGAACATTATGGACTGGGAAAGTGGCTCAGTGGTGGAGTGCTTGCCTTGCATGCATGAGGCCCTGGGTTCGATTCCTCAGCACCACATAAGCAGAAAAAGCCAGAAGTGGCTCTGTGGCTCAAGTGGTAGAGTGCTAACCTTAAGCTGAAGAGCTGAGGGGCAGCGCCTAGGCCCAGAGTTCAGGACCCACGACCAAAAATAAATAAATAAATAAACCATCATTGTCCATTCATCTCCCCAACTTTCTAACTAACCACCATATGTACATATTTCCAAATAAGTAAGTGTGCTTGATAGATTTACCATGCCTCCATCTACCCACCCCACCCACCGATCCATCCACCATCCATCCACCATCCATCCGCCATCCATCTAGTTATCCACCCATTTGTCCACCTACCCACCCAACCCATCCATTCATCTACCTATTCTGTCCATCCATTCATCCATTTGTCTACTTACCTATTCATCCGTTATCTATCCAGCCACCCATTACCCATCCATCTCTTTACCCATCTATCCATCCAACCAGCCATCTCGCCACTTTCCTATCCATCTACCCACCCATCCAGCATGTTCATTGCTCTCTCCCTGCCATCCCGCCATTCCATTTCTCTGAGCACTTTCTCATAGGTCCATCCCTCCAGGCACCCATTCAACCTACAAACACTGCTGGTCACTGTGGAGGGCTTCTGACCAGAGGCCTTCCAGTTGAGTCTGCGGTCATGGTTACGGTGGCCTTCTGACCCTTGCTCATCTCGCTCCCCCTACCGCAGGCATCGGCTACGCGTCCATCGTCATCGTGTCTCTCCTGAACGTGTACTACATCGTCATCCTGGCCTGGGCCACCTACTACCTATTCCAGTCCTTCCAGAAGGAGCTGCCCTGGGCCCACTGCAACCACAGCTGGAACACGCCCCAGTGCATGGAGGACACACTGCGCAAGAACAAGAGCCTCTGGGTCTCCCTCAGCGCCACCAACTTCACCTCCCCCGTCATCGAGTTCTGGGAGTAAGGCCACCTCGCTGGGGGTGGGGGGCGGGGCGGGGCCAGGGGCGGGGCCAGGGCGGGGCCGGGGCGGGGCCGGGGCGGGGGCGGGGCGGGGCCAGGGGGGCCGGGGCGGGGCCAGGGCGGGGCCAGGGGCGGGGCCAGGGGCGGGGCCGGGGCGGGGCCGGGGCGGGGCCGGGGCGGGGCCTGGCGGGCAGCAAGGACAGCCACCTGCCCTTCCTCCCCGGGTGGGGGGGAAGGAGGCCGCTTGTCTGGAGACAGATCCATGCCTTTTGGTTTCTGACAGGCCTGGGAGGAAACCCAGTTCTGTCGTTCACTGGCTGTTTGAATTTAGGAACGTTGCTCTGGCCCCCTTGATGAGCCTCAGTTTCTTTCACTGTCAATTGAGAGAAGTGAACCCCCCAAGATCTCCCCTAAGACAGGGAAACATGTTTGAAAATGATAACTTTTTTTTCATTCACACACATATATATATACATATATATACATATAAGTGTGTGTATAGATATATAGTATATATATATATATATATATATACATATATATATACTAAAATGTATGAAGAAAACTTGTGTTTTCTAACATATACTATAGAAAGGGGTTTATAAATCTGTGCAGAGGGAAAGGAAAATATTGGAAACTGCATATATAAGAATATATACTCATATACTCATGTATACTCAAATGAAAAAGTGAGTCAGTAGAGCAAAAATAGTATCAGTTAGCTTTTGGTGCGTAACAACCATCCCCAAACCCGGTATTTGTTTAGCTAGCAGCTGCTTGTTGACAGCATGGGCCGTTTGGCTCAGCTCGGCCCTTCTGTGTTAGACGCCTGCGTGTATCTGCCTGCAGCTGTCCCGAGGGCAGCACTTCTGGGAATTGGCCGGGCCTGGCCGGGTGTCAGGAGGCCAGGAACAACTGGTGTGTCACCTAGCAGGCCTGAGCTTGTCACAGGAGTGACAGATGGGCAAGCCCGGTTGTGAGCTTTTTTTAATCTCTGCTCACGTCATTTGTGTTAAACCCCCTGGGCCAAAGGGAGCCCAGGACGAGCCCAGTTCAGGAGGTGAGAAGGTCATCTCTGCTCTGCGTGAGAGGAGGACGGCAGCCACCTCGCGCGCTTGGCCGCAGTGTGGGAGGGAGACTCGCCTCGGAGAGGACACATAGCGTGTTGTGTGCAGGCAGATGGGAATGCATGTCACGCCCAGGCAGGGGGGGGGGGCGTGTCCGCCTCACCCCAGAGATGCCCAAGTCATCTGGCCTGAGCGTGGGCCGGCATGGAGGGGGAGGAGGGGGAGGAGGAGGGGGAGGAGGGGGAGCGCGTAATCCGAGACCACGGGGCACCCCTCCCAAGCTTGTAGCTCTGCTGTTTTCCAGGTGTCCGCTCACCTGATGAGCCAGCTCGGGGACAGGCCGGAGAGGGTGCTGCCTGCTCCCAAGCCCCTGCCATGCTATAGGGTCGAGCTGGAGACCCTCCAGGGAAGGGTTGGGGGTCCCCCCCTTGTGTGTGGGGGCCCCTACTCAGTCTGTGTCACTCATGGGTCTTTGCTGTGCTCAGGGGCGGGTCCCCCGGCCGCCTGGACTGGGGGTCTTTGTGTGTGCGTAGTTTTCTCTTCCACACAGTCCGCCCCCCTCCGCACCCCCACTTTAGATAAGGAACGCGTGCTCGGTCCTTCTCAGGTGGCTGGGGCCCGAGGCCGCAGACTGGGCTGTTCTTGCCTGGACGCCGGCACCGTGCCTGTCACGGGCACCGTGCACCCGGCCTTGTTGCCCTTGCTGAGGGTGGGCTGCCCCTGCTGGCTTGGCCGGGCCGGGCCCCGCCTCTCCCCAGACCTGGGTGGTCCCAGCTCTGCAGGGTGGCGGGGTGAGCGGCTCCTGTGGGGGCAGCTGAGGCCCTGTGCCCTGGGGCGGGCTACAGTATACACACAGTTTACATCAGACCCCCATAGCGGCTACACCTCGCGCCCCACCCCTGGGGTCCTCACTCCTGACCCCGTCCACAGCCCACCGCCCCTCGGCGGCAAACGAGCCCCCTTCTGGTGTGCCTGGCTCCTGTCGTCCGAGGCCCCAGGGGTCTCAGGGAAGAACTCAGTGTCCGTCCTAGCCCATACTTTTTTCAGGGCCCTTGCCTTCCTGAATCTATTCTGAGCCCCAGGGCTCCCTTTTCTGGCCAGGAAGACACGAGGCGGTGGTCCCCTCTGGGAACTTCAGCGGTCTGTCCTGCGCCCAGGCCCCGGTGCAGCCGGCAGGGTCTGTCCTGTCTGGACAGCTGTCAGCTGAGCACCCCCCCAACACACGCTTGCCCTTCACCAGCCGGGGTCTAGCAGAGCCTCGCGTCAGCATCTGCCTGCTCCGTGCCTCCTGTCTAGACTCCTAGGGAAGGTTGGGGCTCATGAGCAGGAGCCCCAGAAACAAGCTTGAGGGAAGGCCCGGGACCGCCCCATGCATGACGAGCTGGGGGCTGAGCCCAGGAATGGCCGGGCAGGTGCGTTGTCCAGCCGAGGCCTGCGGGAGGGCTCATGACAGTATGCCCAGCGTCCTGGCTCTGTGTCCGCACCCACGCAGCCACACAGCCCACAGCAACAAGTCACTACCCTTCTTTGCCCTCATTTCTCCACCTGCAAATGGCCAGCCACAGCGGCTGGGCTCTGCAGGATGAGTAGAAGCTCACTGGGCAGTGTGAGCAGCTCTGGCAGAGGGATAGCATTCCAGAAGCACAGAAGAGGTGGACTGGAGAAGAGTTGCGTGGGGCAGTGACAGGAAAGGCCAAGTCTGAGCATTGTTCCAGTCGTGGATGGGCAGAAGGGAGTAGCGTGAGTGAATCTGTGTTCTGGCACCAGACAGTGGACACGTTCTCTAGTGGAGCCTTCTTAACTGTGTCCCAGAGGCTTGAAAGAAAGAGGCAGTATGTGAACTATGGAAATTGATGGCTTTGGGAACCCTACTGCAAAGGCCCTGGGGCAGGACTGTCTAGCCCAGGAGCTAGAGGTGAAAGGGCAGGATGGAGGATGGTGGGGAGTGGGCAGCCACCTTGGGAGCGCACAGGGCCGGCCCGGGAGCCAAGTCCACAGTCACAAGCCCCATCAGGTGGTGCCTGCGTGTGTGCGTCTCCAGAGGCCTGAACTCCACGCACACGCCCACCGCGCCTGCAGCGCGACCTTTCCCTTCTCAGCCAGAGCTGCTCAGACTCGCAACAAGAAGCCACTGCGGGCCCCAGAGGAGCGTTTCACGCTGGCCTCGTGGGGTGAGGGAGGTGGCTTCGGTGGGAAGCAGGGCCAGCCCGTCCCGAGGCCAGTCCTGGAGGTCTGAGGTCACGTTTGTCCCCAGGCCCTGGAGGACAGGCGGGGCCAGGTCTGGCTGGGTGCCCTGATCAGGCTGGAGCCCGGGCCTTCCTCCCTGGCTCCTCCGGAGCCCCTGGGAGCTCAGCACGGATCATTAGACTCTATTAGAATCAAAGACGTGAGTCATATTTGCAAACAAGTGGGCTCGGCCCATCTCCCCGTGCAGCTGTCAGGCAGCCGCGCAGGGCAGGGACGCGGGCCTGGGCTCCGGCGGAAGGCCCTTTTTATAATTGTTGCCTCCGCCGGTCTCCAGGGGAGAGCCGAGGCCAATAAATGGCTGGCCTGCAGTCAAAAGGAAGCGATTTGGCCCACTCCAGGACGTATTTACATCTCTGAGTGCTGGCTGGACGGCAGCAGGGCGGCCGACTCCAAACACACGGCCAGCCCATTCTTCTTTGGATCCTGCCCTGGACTGAGGCGTTTCTTTTCTTGGATAAGAGCATCCCTTGCCAGGTGCCGGTGGCTCCCGCCTGTCATCCCAGCTACTCAGGAGGCTGAGATCTGAGGATCGCAGTTCAAAGCCAGCCCGGGCAGGAATGTCCGTGAGATACCTATCTCCAATAAACCACCAGAAAACCAGAAGTGGCGCTGTGGCTCAAGTGGTAGAGCGCTAGCCTTGAGATGAAGAGCTGAGGGACAGCGCCCAGACCCTGAGTTCAAGGGCCACGACTGACCAAAAAAAAAAAAGAAAAAGAAAAGAATGTCACTTACCTCCAGGTCCCCAAGGGATGAGGCCTCACCCAGGACAAGGATGCCTGGGGTGCTGGGGGTGTCTGCCAAGGACAGCGTCAGCCGCACAGAGGGCGGCTGGTACCCAGGCTTAATTCCTGAGTGGGGTCAGGTGAATTCTGCACCTCACTTTCCCCCACCAACCAAGTGGGTGTAACTAATCCTTTTACTGCTGGCTAAGTCCTGAGTGTCACCCGCCCTGTGCTCCGCTCCAGGTGCAGGCCCCGCCCCCAAAGCAGACACCATAGAAGGCTGACGTACATGTCAGGATGTTTGAAAGGAGCCAGGGCAGGGGGCCGTGACCCAAGGTGTCCGGGAATGGCTGTTGCTCAGGGCAGTAGCATCCGCACAGGGCCTCGAAGGAAAAGACCTAGGCGAGCTGCGGAAGCGTGTGGACGGTGCAAAGGTCCGGAGACCCCCTAGGCCAGGCTGACAGTCGCCTGCTCTGCTCGCTTGGAGGCGGCAGCCTGAGCCTCCCCAGTGAGCTCAGCTGCGCGCTTAGATCCATGAGATCCCTGGGCCCGGCCTCCCCGGCAAGTGGGTGCCAGCTCCTGTTTTCTGGCAGAAGTCTGAGGGGCACACAGTCCCAGGTGGGGTGGGCAGTGTCGGGAAGAGGAGGCCAAAGGCTTAGGGTCAGGGCAGTGTGCTCAGGATCAGAACCTCGCCCCGGTCACCTGGTTGATCTGTCCCACTGGTGGACGAGCCCCACCGTGGAGGTCAGGGGCCGGAGGCCAGGCCAGGAGTTGCGGGTTTTTTCACGGTCTTCATGCTGTGGCTTCCAAGTGCACGCAGGGTGGAAGCTGTTGTCCCCCTTTTTATTTATTTTTTTGCCAGTCCTGGGGCTTGAACTCAGGGCCTGGGCTCTGTCCCTGAACCTGGCTGGCTGTGCTGAAGGCTGGTACTCTACCACTTGAGCCACAGTCATACTTCCAGCCTTTTCTGAGTAGTTCATCAGTGATGAGAGTCTCCCAAACTTTCCTACCCAGGCAGGCTTCGAACTACGATCCTCAGATCTCAGCCTCTTGAGTAGCTAGGATGACAGGAGTGAGCCACCAGTGCCTGGCCAGCCATCTTTCCCTTTTGTAGGACAGACAGGCCATGGGGCCCCTTCTGCGTGGGAGTGTGCTTCCCGAGGGGGAGCCGACACCTGGCACAGGGGCTCAAACCTCAGCGGGTCTTTGGGAAAGCTTTGCTGAGTAGCCCAGACTGCCCTCAAGCCCACCATCCTCCCGTCTCAGCTTCTCTAGTGTTGGGATTAGAGGCATGCACGACCAGGTCTGGCTCACAGTCAGGGTTGGGCAGAATGAAAGGGACAGGGCCCATAATGCTGGGTGAGGGCGACTTCTCCTTTTATAAATGGGGAAACGGAGGTTTGGGGACTTCATGACCCGGAGTTCACTTGGCTTAGGAGGGGTTTTGCATACGCCAGACCTGTGCATGTGCCGCACATGCCCCGGGCCTCTGAGGCCCAGCTGCAGCCCTCCATCTGCTTCTGACGGCCCAACGACTCCGTCCCAAGACAAACAAGGTCGCGGGGGCCTGCGCGATGCCCCAGGCTGGCCCCTGACCTCTTCCTCTGTTTCCTCGAAGGCGCAACGTGCTGAGCTTGTCCCCCGGCATCGACCACCCAGGCGCTCTGAAGTGGGACCTCGCTCTCTGCCTTCTCTTAGTCTGGCTGATCTGTTTCTTCTGCATCTGGAAGGGCGTCAGGTCCACGGGGAAGGTAAGCTGGACACCTGTCCCCTGCCTCAGGGAACAGAAACAACACAGACGGACTCCCCCCCCCCCCCCCCTGCCCACACAGCCCCAGCCAAGGGAGGGAAGCGGTAGATGAGATGAATAAAGCCCAGTGGCAGAGCTGCCCTGTCACGCTGTCCCGTTGCACTTTGTGGGTGTTAATGACCAGCTGCCACAATTCCTGGCTAAGCAGCCAGGCCCCTCCCATGAGCTCGTCCCCCCTGCCACCGGCCCCTCACTGCTGCCTCCTAGCCCCAGGTGTTGGTAGTAGATGCAGATGTTAGCAATAAAGGAACACTGGCACTGTGGGCCTTGTAAGCAACGTCAGCTGCCAGGCAGAGGCCAGCCGGGCGGCCCCACGGTTCAGTATGTGGTATCTGAGGCGAGTACAGGCCCTGGCTCTGCCCAGGCCCAGGGCCAGCAGCCTCAGCAACACCCGGGGCTCAGAGCACCGGCTGCCCACACGTCCCAGGCCAGGTTAGGCCGGGCCCCATCTTCAGGTAAACCAGATGCCCTTGATGGTTTGGGAACCACTGGACTGTGTCGATAGGGCTGGGTCAGACTGAGTTATAACTAAAGTTTCACCGTAACTTCCCTCCTGCCTGTTCCTGCAAACATTAGCTAATAATGAAGCCACTCACAGCCAATAGAAGGCTCGCCCGTAGCCGGAGCAAACGCTGCAGCTGCAGGGCGTGCCGTTCGCTGATAGTGGCAATGAAGGAGTGGTCAGCTGACCACTGATACACACGTGTGTGAAGGCTTGCAGAGCTGTGTCTGGTGTGTGCTAGCAGTGGTGATGTTAATCTGTTAAGGTTCCTGTCAGGCAGGGCTCTGGCTGATATCCAGACCCTACGGGGAGCTGTTGTCAGCGGGGAGCTGACCTCAGGTGCTGGGTCATCCACACCCAGGCATGGGCCTTGGATGTTAGCGGTCGCCACACAGACTTGGCCATTTGTATCTTTGTGGGACACAAGCTCTCTAGGATTAAAGACACCCCGGCATAAAAGCATCTCTCTAGGTGGCACTCGAGGGCACCAGCAAGCTGAATACAGCAGGGTCTGGAGAAAGGTCCGTGGCTGACACGTTCACCTGAACTTAGGGCCAAGCATGTGCCCCGGACAAAGGCACAATTGTGGATCTGGAAAAGGTTCCAGAAATCCAACACCTGCTGTTCAAGATGCAGGGTGCCAGGTAGCAGGGGAAGTGTCCCGGAATGGGGCATGCTGTGTGCAGCCCCCCCCCCCCAGCCCCCACCAGTCAGTTTCCCATCGCTGTGACAAATACCTGGGAGAAATCAACTTGAGGAAAGGTTTATTTGGTGCATGCTATCTGACCTTCTAGTCGTGGCCACGTGGACCCTTTGCGTTGGGGCCTGTGGCAGCTGAATACATCGTAGTGGCTGTGTGTGAGCCGAGGAGGCTGAGAGAGTGAGCAGAGACAGGGACAGGAAGAGGCAGCCCTAACATCCTCTTGAAGGCCACACCTCCCATGACCTCACTTCCTTCTGGCTAGGCCCCCAGATCCTAATGATTCCACCACCTCCCCAAAGTGCCGCAGCCTTTTGCGTCGGCCTCGGGCCCTGACCCAGGCCATGGCTTCCTCTCCCTCTGCCCACTCTGCCACCCTGGCCCCCCGTTGGGAGAGGAAGCGGTCCAGCCTTCGGCTCACACAGCCACCGTGGGGACGGGCTGGGCGGCGGGGAGGGGGCGCCGTGCTCCCACAAGCCCACCTCCGCCTTGAAAGCACTCCATTTTGTCACTGTTGCGGAAGCAGCGCGGTACCCAAGGCTTGGAGAGGAATGGTGACCTGTGTCTGAGGTTATGCCCACAGCTCCGAGCCTCACTTGCCCCATCTGTGAAAGGAGAGGCGTGAAGGTTAAACACCCAGTACACGGCTTGCTCAGACTTGCACACTTATCACCTTTTTCAGTCTGCCTCAGTTTCCCCATGCAGAAGTCAGTCTAGGAATTTCCTGTGGCACATTGGTGCCAAGCAGTGCCAGACACCTGATCATGTTCTTACTCACTGGTGACTTCTGACCCTCATTGTGTGCCAGGCCTGTGGTTGGAATGGGGCTGTCCAGCCCCACTGTGCAGGCTTTGGTGGCTGGGCAGGAAGAGTCTGGCAGGAATCCTGTGATAACGGGAAGAAAGAAGGAAGGCAGGGAGTATTGGAGTCATTTTAAGTGAGGAGGCCAGAGACTTACAATCAAAGATGTGAAGGAAGTGAAGCAGGAAATTGCAGGGAGAGAGAACAGCCCGTGCAAAGGCCCTGAGGTGTGCTCAGCCTCTGTCCGTGGGGCGTCTCCAGTCTGATGGAAGAGGCTGATGCCTATCGGGTGCTGGGAGCGACATTTGAAGTGCAGCAAGGCAGGCAGGGTAACACGGCTGAGGCCAGGCAGGAGTGTGGCAGGCAGTGGGCTAGGAGGGAAGACGTGCCCGGCCAGCCGTCTTCCCGGCCCCACCCCCAGGTACACCCTCCTCGCTGGGCAGGCATGGTTCCCAGAACAATACAGGGCCAGGCCAGCCCCAGGAAGCCAAGGCAAACAGCCATGCTGGGTGTGAGCCACCCACCAGCCTGCTTTTGGGCCAAGTTCCCTGCCACTGTGGGGGCTAGGCCGGGACGGGCCCAGGGCCGGGGATGGAGAGAGGCTGCCCGGGAGACGGAGCACCTGCACCCCTCTTGCTGGTCCGAGGGCCTGCAACGTGCCCCGGCCACGCTGCCACTCACAGCTCTGCGTGCCGACCTCTCAGACAGGCAGTTAGGGAAACCGAGGCCCACGTCACCAAGCTTGTCAGTGGCCAAGTTGCATTTTAGCCCTGGGCACCCCCATTTCTGCCCTGAGTGCCCCCTTCTGCCACCTCCTGGGCCAGGCTGAGGTGCAGCTGTAAGGCGGGAGCCGGGCAGGACCCTGCTGCCACGAAGGACGGAGCTCAGGCAGGGGCAGGGCCAATGCCGGCACAGGAAGACCACAGACCTGTGCCACGCCACCCTCTGGGGTGGCTCCTCTGTCCAGTGCCCAGAAATGTGGCAGGGCCAGGCCCAGTTTGGAGCTCTGTTCTGCTCCTGTAAACTGCTTGGGTCCTCTGTTCCTCCCAGCCTCGGTTTCCCCTGTGAGTGGTTCCCCTCCGTGCACGTAGGAGTGACCCCTGTTGCCTGGACCTTCGCTTCCCAAAGGGCATGGTGGTGGCTCCATTGTGCCTGGCAGGTCCCCGCCCCCCCCCCCCCCCCACCGTGTCCCAGGGGTCTGGGGAAAGGCTCCACCCGCATCCAGGGCTCAGAGGAGCCACCGCGGTTCTCCAGCTAGAGTGGAAAAGTACCGCGTCCCACGGCAAGACCTGCTGGGTCACCACCAGGGCCCGCCGGCGACGGCGGCTGGCACCAGCCTTTCCCCTGGGACCCCAGGGGTGGCATGGAAAAGCTGAGGGAACGGCTTGGCCCTCAGGGGCTGGGCAGCCCGGCCTGTAAAACAAGAGCGAGCACTTCCCAGACGGGGCTGGGGGCGCAGCCGGGCCTGGTGGACTCCTGTCCAGAGACAGGGGTGAGCCAAGCCAGCACCCCCCCATGCACACACACACACAAGATGGGCACCCTGAAAGCACCTGTCCTAAAGCGAGTTCCGCCCCACCCCTGCTAACTCAAGAAAGTGTAAGAAGCCAAGGAGGCTTAGCTTTGGGCAGACACTGGTCAAATCAGTGAGGTCTGGAAAACAAGGGCGTCACCCCCCCACCCCACCCCTCAGGCCTGGCCACAGCCTGGTGGCTTTGAAGCTGGGGCCTCCGGGGACCCCTGCTGGGCAGCCGTCTGCAGCCATTGTTCACCAGCCCCGGTGTGGCCTGCTCAGGACCCAGAGCCCGGAACTGGGCAGGGAAGGAAGGGGACAGGCGAACTTGCCTTCTTTTACCCCTCTGTCCCCCCCCTCCACTTCCCCGTGCCCTCCCTCTCCCTGCCCTCTCCCTCCTGGTCTACCTTCCTGTCCGAGGAATGTTGTGAGGGCTCCCAGCCTCAGAGAAGAGAAGGAAGAGCCACTTTCTGGGGAGACGGAGGCCAGAGGAAGAAAGCACCCAGGGATGGGTGGTAGGGACAGAAGGCCTCCCTGGCTGGGATTGTTGTTGGGGACTCCAGCCTGTGCAAAGGCCCCTTGCTCCCAGGTCGGGGGGCGGGGGGGCGTCCAGGGAGGAGCCCAGTTCAGAGCGAGGGTCTTGCTCCAGCCCGGGGGTGAGGGTGTCTTCAGGGCAATTCAGGACCTGCCCATCGTGGACGCTTTCCTGTCGCCCTGTGGAGTGGCGGGCAGGCGGGGCAGGAGGTGGGTGGGCGGGTTCGTCCATGGAGCCGCCCAGCACTTCTAAGCTCCACCGCACACTTGACCTCAGCCTGGCAGGGACTTAAAGTATGACTCAGGGGAGGCCGGCGCCTCCCAGAGGCCAGGGGGAGGCGGCCCCGCCCTCGCTGGCTGTTCTTTCCCTAAACCCATTTCCCGAGCAGCTGCTCAGGGTCCGATGTGGTTTCGGTGGTCTCGCTTCCGCCACAGGCCCCGTGTCCCCGAGAGTGAGGGGACCAGGCTGCTGGGGCCGGAGCCCTCACCTTCCTGTTTTGGTTCAGTTTGTTTTGAGACAGTTATTGCCATGTGTTGGCAGTCCTGTGATGCCGGAGGTGTGGACACAGCAGCAGTGGCTTATCCGTAGGGCCACACGGGCCGTGCCGAGTGCCCGTGCCCATCACCGGGCTGGGCCTCTTGCAGCCATACATGAATCTCTTCTGTGCTTTCTGTCTCCCCAGGGCAAGGATTTGTTTTTCTTGCTCCACCACTGTGTTCCTGGCTTATGTGATACCTAAAGCACAATAAATACAATTTTTTTTCCTTTTCTTTTTTGCCAGACCTGCCTGGGACTTGAACTCAGGGTCTGGGCACTGTCCTTGATCTTCTTTTGCTCCAGGCTGGCACTCTACCACTTGAGCCACGTTCCAAGTCCAAATACAAATCTTTATAGGACTTTTTCCATTTTAAAAGTTCCTGTGAGCCGGGCGCTGGTGGCTCACGCCTGTCATCCTAGCTACTCAGGAGGCTGAGATCTGAGGATCGCGGTTCAAAGCCAGCCCTGGCAGGAAACTCTGTGAGACTCTTATCTCCAATAAACCACTAGAAAACCAGAAGTGGCGCTGTGGCTCAAGCGGTACAGCGCTCTCCTTGAGCTGAAGAGCATAGGGACAGTGCCCAAGCCCAGAGTTCAAGTCCCACAACCGACCAAAAAAAAAAAAAGTTCCTGTGGCCTGATGCTGGCTCATGCTTATAATCGTATCTACTCAGGAGGCTGAGATCAGAGGAGTAAGGTTTGAAGCCAGCCCAGGCAGAAAGTCTGTGGGACTCTCAACCAACAAAAGGCCAGAGTGGAGGCATGGCTAAAGTGGTAGCTAGCTTCCAACACAAAAGGCTCTGAATTGCATTGAGTTCAAGTCCCAGGAACACACACACACACACACGCTGTGTCAATGGGCACTGGTGGCTCACGCCTGTCATCCTAGCTACTCAGGAGGCTGAGATCTGAGGATCTCATTTCAAAGCCAGCCCAGGCAGGAAAGTCTGTGAGACTCTTATTGCCAATGAACCACCAGAAAGCCAGAAGTGGTGCTGTGGCTCAAGCGGTAGAGCGCTTGCCTGGAGTGAAAGGGCTTAGGGACAAGGCCCTGAGTTTGAGCCCCACACCCGGGCGGGGTAGTGACGGAAGAGCGTCCTGTGTCATACTCAGGTTACAGGAGAGGAAACTTGGCTTCGGAGCCCGCGCCGGCTCCTGGGGAGGAAAGGATGCAGCCAGCGGTGCCCCGGGCCCAGCTGATCTCTGTGCCCTCTACAGGTTGTCTACTTCACAGCCACTTTCCCGTTCGCAATGCTTCTGGTGCTGCTGGTCCGAGGGCTGACGCTGCCCGGTGCGGGTGCAGGCATCAAGTTCTACCTGTATCCTGACATCACCCGCCTCGAGGACCCACAGGTAAGGCCGGTGTACGGCCTTCCCTCCACCCAGCGCCTGGGCGGGTGGGCGGGCGGGCGGGCAAGCAGTGTGCGGCGGGCAGTGCGCCGGCCGGAGCTGCACCCCAGCATCTCCCCCTGGTACTTTTCCATGGGCCCCCGCTGGAGAGTTGCTTGTCCAGCTGATGGCTCACATGGCTCCTGGAGCCAGCCAGTGGCGGGCAGGCTGCCTCAGGCTCTGGGCCGGGCACTCCCAGAAGTCTGGACTTCTGCCCCCAGCATCCTGGGAACAGAAGGTGGGGCTCCCAGGACCTCCCCCCTGGGCCGCATGGGCGCCCAGGGGGCCCCAACGCTCCAGCTTTCTGGTTACCTCCCAGGGGACTGGCGGTTCTCTGGGCCTCCTTCCCTTGTGCCCGGGCAGGGTGGGGTGGGGGCAGCCAGCAGGAAGGCAGCTTCACAGCCTTGGGGGCTGGAAGATTCCAGAGAGCCGCCTTGCCTGCAGACCCCACAGGGAATTGCTCCCCTCTGAGCCCGGTCCCCAGAGGTAGCCATCCCCGGCAGCCGCACCCCGGTCGGGCGTAACCTGGGCCCTGAGCCCCGAGTGCTGTGCAGGACACCCTTCAGAGATGAGGGGCCCGAGGGGGACCCTCGCTGGGCCAGTCACTGAAACGTTCCAGCCCAGTCCTTCAGCCGGTGCAGGAGGCGGGGAGCAGACGTGGCCTCAGCTTCTCGGGGTTCCTTACCACTCAGCATTGTGTCAGTGCGGCGCTGAGACCACCACAGGCATTCCCCTCTGCAGTGGAGCCTGCCCCCCACACCCACCCCGCCAGCCCCATCCTCGGCCGGCCCTAACAACCCCCTCTCCTTGCCGACCCCCCCCCTCCCCCCAGGTGTGGATTGATGCCGGGACCCAGATATTCTTCTCCTACGCCATCTGCCTGGGGGCCATGACCTCGCTGGGGAGCTACAACAAGTACAAGTACAACTCATACAGGCAAGTGCTGCGCCGGCCGGCCGGCCGCGGGCGCGCGTGCGCGATGATGTTAAAGAAGACAAGTAGGGAGCGTGGCTTCCTGTGTTGTGAATTAACTTGCTCCCTGACGTATGTGTAACTTAGGGACTGTATGCTGCTGGGATGCCTCAACAGTGGTACCAGTTTTGTGTCTGGCTTCGCAATTTTTTCCATCCTGGGCTTCATGGCACAAGAGCAAGGGGTGGACATTGCCGATGTGGCTGAGTCAGGTACGGTGGTGTTGGTGGCAGTGGTGGTGGGCACTGCCACCTAGTGTGTAAGCCGAGTGAGTACTACTGTAGGCATGAAGCCAGACCCCAGGGGGATGGGGGGCCAGCCTGGCTTCTGTACCAACCCCCCACTCCCACCAGGATGCTCCCCCCCAGTAGCAAAGAATGCAGGAGCCATCACGGTCTCCACGGCGACCTGGCCCATGGGGCGGCTCGAGCGGGACAGCACCGTGGTGGGGTGGTTCCCTCCCTCCCGTGCCCCAGCTCCCGCCCGGGCAGCCGCCACCTGCACCCGTCGCCGCCTTCTCAGCCGACCGCTCTGTTCTGTACTTGCGCCCCGAGTCCCCTCTAGGCAGACCTGCTCCTCCATTCTGCCCCGTCTCTTCCCTGTTGGGCTCCACCCCCTCCACTGTGGGCTCGGAGCTCAGTGGGGGCTGGAAGCGGGAAAGGGGGACTGAGGACAGGGAAGGCCACCCTTGGGGGCGGTGACCAAACTGATCTGGGTGTGGGACACGAGGATCCCATCACCCCTGGGGTGCACCCCCTCCCAGGCCAGGTGCTGCTCCTGGGAACAGCTAGAGTCATTAGAGTCGACGCCCTAGGATCACAGGCTTGCATAGTTTGGAGCTTAAGACCCCAGGACCCCAGAGTTCCAGAAAAGATGCTTCTGGAATCCTAGGGACTGGGTTCCAGGACTTGGCCTTGATTGCTTGAGGTCCTGGACCCGCTGTGTTCAAACGACAGTGGTTTGGGTCACAGACCCCTCCCCCAGTCCCTCGCAAGGCCTTGGAGGGCGGCCGGTGGCCAGCTGTCGGCAGGAAAGGGTTTGTGGGTTCACACCAATTCCCCCCTGCCCCCCACCAGAGGCAGGGAAGGGCGCTGGGCCCAACTTCTGCAGCAGAAGGAAAGGCAAGGTGTCATGCGGGGACTTCCGCAGACCTGGGGCAGGTGCCCTCTCTCCTCCTCAGCCCCGATATTTTCTGCCTTCTTGTATTTGAACCCCAAGCTCCTGCCCTAGCACCCGTCTGGCATCTCGGATGAGCTCAGCAGTCTGAGAGCGGCAGGAGCCTTGCCTGGGGTGGGGGGGCACTCCAGTACGGGCCCTGCCCACCTCCCCATCCTACCCCGTGCACACTCATGGGCTTGCCAGCGTGAGAATGAGCCTGGGTCCTTCATCTCTCGCAGCCCCAGGGCCCTGTGAGCCTCAGAGCTGTAGAACCATCCTCGCAAATCCACCACTCGGCCGTCTACATCGCTCCCTTTTTTTTGGGGGGGGGTCCCCCTTGAAGCCCACAGAGTGAGGACACGGGAAACACCCACGGCCACCTGTGGGTTCTCAGAGCAAGGTGGGAAAAGAGCTGGGAAGCCCAGCTCAGAGCCCCTCCCCTCCACCCAGGGGGTTTGGGGTTTTTGTTTTATTTTGTTGTGTTTTTGCTGAGGGCCTGCAGGCCAGTTTCTTGACTGCTAATCGCCGATAGCTGGCCGTGGACTTGGCAGCGGGAGGTGAACGTAATTCTTTCCCTGTGGACAGCTGGGTATTTTTGCATCCGTATGTGTGGTCAGCCTAAGTTGTTTTCTTCTTCCTGCCCACTTCCAAGATGTCGTTCATTCCCCACGGTGATGTCTGAGCAGCCAGCACATCAAGGGTGATTGTTTCCCTAATAAGCTTTTAACGAGCACAGTATTAAGCAGAAGGGCGTTTGAACGAGGTAATCACCGCGTCAAGCGCTGGCATGCAGGCCGGGAGTCACACGTGTGTTCCCTTTCGAGGAGGCAGATCCGGATCTGAGCGCCTGGGTTTTCTTCCTGGACTCTCCCCCGACCTTGAGCTCGCCCTGGGCTTTGAGAGGAGCTCAGCCCTGTCCCGAGTCAGCAGTGGTGCCCGCCCGTCACCGTGGGCCTTTCCCGCGGTCCTGGTCTTCGGCCAGAGTGGTCAGATGAGGTGGACAGCCCGTGGCTTTGGACTCTGGCTTCTGTTCCAGGGAGGGTTGCAGGTGCCCAGGCAGGAAGCATGCCCTTGTCCCCCACCCCTCCCCGTCCTCCCTGTGGGCAGCCCAGCCGCCCTCCGTCGCCGCCCAGGTCGTTGTGTCGCTGGGGACCTCAGGCTGTGTGGACTCTGCGTTGTGGAGACCCATTCTCCCCGTCCCGTGTGGGAGTGTCAGTGCCAGACAATGTGTGACTTCGGATGCCAATTTCTTGTAAAAAATGGTGTGTTTTTGTGGAGTTTTACTCTATAGTTTTTTCATTTGGCTTCTGACGTTTGCTTGAACACATGCCTCCTGGACTCCGACCCTTTTTTGCTTCTTGTCCATTTTGGGGCAGGGCGGTTTTGTTTTCAGCCCAGGCCCGCGAGCCCTGCCTTCCCTGGCAAACCCCTGGCGTCCCTCCCCTGGTGTCCGCTGCGGTCCCCGGGGGACAGGACAAAGCGGTTCTCTGCATCCCAGTGAGCTCAGTAAGAGGCTCCCTGAGCTGGCAGGCCCCCTCCCCAAGTCCACCTGCGGGTCTGGCCCAAGCACCCTCTTACCCCTGTTCTGGGCATTGGTGCGTCTCAGAGAACCTGAATGCAAGAAGGCTCCTGGGGTCACCTCTCCTTCAACCTGTCAGCTGGGAGACTGGGGGCCTGGGCGGGTCTAGGGAGATACAAAGAGGAAACAGTAGATAAAGACTTGCGTGTGGCTCCTGTCTCCCAGGCTTGGTCCTGTGCCTGCACCCTCTCCTTCTGTGCCAGGCCCTGGCTGGCCTCCCCTTACCTCTGCCCACCTCTGGCCTGGTGCCTGTTGAGGCTGGAGGCTGGAGGTCCGAGGCCACCATGGCTGTACCCCTGAAGAGCCGTTTGCCCTACTGGGCGTGGTTCTAATGTGTGTCTTTTGTTTTCCTTTCTACTCATGGTGTGTTGGCCATCAGTTCAAAAATAGAAACTTTATATTTTTCATAATGTGGTCAGATTACGAGAACTTTCCCTTGGCTTCCTTCCAGCCAGTGTAGACAGGATGGCTTTGCTTTGGGAGGGGCTGGGTCGTCATCTGGAGTCGGTAGTTGCCTGAGCCGCAGGCCCAGTTCCCGCATCCTGCCCCAGCCCGGTAGCCCACATCCACGGATTCGTGCCGGCAAGGAGGCCACCTGTACCGTCTAGGAGCACAGAAGCTAACACGGGGCCCCTCCTGAGTCACGGGGCCCCCCCGGCCCCACCCCAGAGTGAGCAAGACAGGCCTGGTCTCTTTCCCAGGCAGCAGCTCAGCTCAGATGCCAGTGCCGTTATGTGAGGCCGGGGGCTCCGGGGGGCCCGGCGGCTGATGTGCCTCCCTCTGTGCCCCTCCCCATTTTCTCTCCCACGTAGGTCCCGGCTTGGCCTTCATCGCCTACCCCAAGGCTGTGACGATGATGCCGCTCCCTACGTTTTGGTCCATTCTTTTCTTTATTATGCTTCTCTTGCTTGGACTGGATAGCCAGGTGAGTGCTGGGAGGCGCGGCCCTGGGAGAGGACTTGGGGCACCGTGCAGAGGTGACATCCATTGACACTGGGATCTGGGATTGTCTGTAGTCAATACCACCCCCACCCCCACCCCCATCATGCTGCTAAGTGCCTCTGGCCAGCCAAGGATCCTGTGGGATCCTGGAGTGGGAACGGACACAGGGCAGCTGGAAGACACCTGTCCGCCCCCAGCTGCAGGCCGTCACCCGTCTCCTGAGCATCCTTTCCTTATCTTGGCTAGTGTTGTGATGATGCCCTTGTGGGCAGGGGCAACAGTGCTGGGTTCAGAGCACACAGGAGAGCCCGTGTCCAGCATCACTCTCACTGAGGGCCGTAGCCCCCTAGGTGGCCAGGCTGGCTCACAGGGAGTGAGAACTGGCAGGAGAGTCCTACAGGGTCAGGCAGGGGAGCAAGAGTCCAGAGAGGAGGTGGTCAGCGCGCAGGGCCAAGAGCAGAGCAGGGAGAATTTGGCATAAGAGAGGCCCCGGTCAGCAGAGCAAACAGAATGAAAACATCCCAGAGACAGAAAACAGACCCGGGCCGTGTAAACAAGAGTGGGGGCCGCCTTCATCATCTTGGGTTCATGAGCTTGGCCTTTGGAGAGGCCCCACACACATGGCTTTTAGAACTCCTTCCAGAAGTAAAAGAAGAAAACAAAAGCAGATTAATAAGTAGCGAGGCATGACATCTCCATGGCCCAAGATGGACTGCTTGGGAATGGCACCTACTTGCGAGTAAGCAAATAGAGGTGGTTAGTCACTAGGTTTTTGCCCTATAGGGAGGGGGAACCAGGGATTGGGGGGGGGACACCCAGGCTGGGGCCAATCTCGTCAACACCATCCCAGGATGCCACTGCCCTTTTGCTGCAGTCCGCCCAGACCTTGAGGCTTGGTGGTTGGCGACTGCCAGTGTCACTCAGCCCCCAGACCCCAGGATCCCGGGATGGGAGGAGCTTGCTGATGTCATCATGGCTCACGTGTGGTTGAGCCCTAGGGGAGGTGTCCCCAAGCGGGGATAGGAACGCCACCATGCTAGGTGCTAGCCTGTTCCAGGCCCCATGCCAGCTTTTACGCCCCCCTGTGTGGCACAGTACACAAAAGTCACCCACACCAGCTGCAGGGGGCAGCCACGCAGTCTTCCCACACAGTAGCTCTGCCCTGAGAAGCACCAGCCTTGCCCTGGCCTGCCCCCAGGGCAGGGGAGGGGACCCTGGCCTGGGAAGGCAGGCAGGCAGGCGTGGCCACTGCCCCACTGTCTCCTTATTCCGCCCCGAGGCTTAAGCGAAGGCCTGGGCCTTGCGGCTAGTTGGAGGCTTGGCCCCGAGCTGTTGCTCTGTCTCTGTCAGCTTCTCCTTGTGAGTTCCAGAAGCTGGAAGTGCACAGCAGCCTCGGGCAGGGCCTCGTGTGCCGGACGTGGTCACTTAGGCAGTAGCCATTGCGCTCTTCCAGGGCTTCTTGCCGTGGTGGGGAGTGGCCTGCTGAGGCTCGGGGCATCGCACTGCTGTTTCTTGGTGGGCCAATCTGGGAGCCCCCCTCCCCCGGGGGAGGCAGGTCCCTGTTGATAGATAGCCAAGGGGCCCCCAAACGGGCAGTGCCAGGAGGAGGGAGCTGACTTCAGTGCCCAGCTCCCCCTGCAGAGGTGAGTCAGCCATACTCAGCTGTCAGGTGACTCCTAACAATGTCAGATCTCTCTCAACATCCTGGCCAGACCCTGCCACTTGGGAGAGGAGGAAACCGAGGCCCATCTCCGATGAGCCAGGAAGGTTGGAAGAGGCTGTGCGGGGAGCTGGAAAATGAGGGTTTGGGCAGGCTTGGTCCCGATTCCTGGCAGCACAGGAGCTGTGCTGCCAGCATCTCCAGGGAGGGAGGAGCTGTGTTACTCCTAAAGCACAGCAGCTGCTCAGGTTCGGATTCCCCCTGCTAGCCAGCCATGGGGGTGGAAGATCCCCCGCCTTCTCCCTGCAAACCCCGCCCCCCCCCCCCCCCCCCCCCGCCCGGGCCTCTCCCCTGATCTGGGCAGCCGGGCGTCTTCTCTTGGACTGCTCGCCGCCCCTTTCCTTGATCCTTCCTGCTGCCTGAGCTGTGGGCGCTTGGAGATGCAAAGGAGCCAGGTCCACTTTGGGGTGTGTGAGGGCCCGCGGAGCCGTCTGGTCTGGCTGCTGTGGGCTGTTAAGCCCGGAGGCTGCCCTAGAGGAACTTGGTGTAGACAGGCTCACACTCTGCTGAGTGTAGGTGGAGGGGCGGCGCCCCGGCAGGAGGAGCAGAAGGGTGGACAGCATCTCTTGGTATTGGTTAGATAGTGATGGTGCAGGTCCAGAGAACGGCACTCGAGGCTGCTGTTTAAAGCAGCCAGGTGGCGCTCTGTGTGGTAATATGTCGTGCTCTGCAAGGTCAGCTAGTCACAGAAAGACCAAGAGCATCCACTGTGGAAGCACTTGCAAATCTTATGTTTGGGGTAGATTCCCAGAGTCCGGCTGCCACACACAGCCACGCATACCTGGGCATTCTCTGGGCTTGTGAGAGAAAGGGTTAAAACCATCACAGGAGTCCGGCCTGAACTGCTCCATTCCACAGATGAGAAAACTGAGGCCCAGATTTGTTCTGAGTCACCTCTGCTTGGCACAGCTCCATCACGTGTCTGAGCAGCCATACCGGTGTGGCCTGGCATGGTATCGAAGGTCCAGAGAGCATGGACCACCCTTACCCCAGGAGAGTGGTTGTCATGACAACTAAAACACAGGGTCGGCACTGGCTTCCTGGGGAAGCAGTTTTCCCTCAGTCTTGTGAGAGAAGGGCATTCTGGCAGCAGAAACAGCCTGAACAAGATGCCCAGAGTGGGGGCCTTATTTGCTGTGTGTATAGACCAGCGTGGCCTGATCACATCCAAGGCCTGACTGTGGGGAAATGGCAGGCTCCTTGTGTGTGCCTGGGCCGCTCCCCTCCTCTCCCCTCCCCAAGCAGCAGCGGCGGCGGCGGCGGCGGCTCCCTCACTGGCTCTCTCTCCCTTCCCTCCTCAGTTTGTCGAGGTCGAAGGACAGATCACATCCTTGGTTGATCTTTACCCGTCCTTCCTAAGGAAGGGTTATCGTCGGGAAATCTTCATCGCCATCGTGTGTAGCATCAGCTACCTGCTGGGGCTGACGATGGTGACGGAGGTAAGCGCTGTCCCCGGGCGGCACACGGGACCCTGGCTCGGGACACCCCCATCCACCCCAGTGCAGCTCGCCTCCCACCCCAGCCCACCCCCTCCCACACCAACCCACCCCCCTCCCATCCCAGCCCACCCCCTCGCACCCAGCGCACCCCCCTCCTATCCCCCTCCCACCCCCTCCCACCCCAGCCCACCCCCCTCACACCCCAGCCCACCCCAGCCCACCCCCTCCCACCCCAGCCCACCCCCTCACACCCAGCGCACCCCCCTCCTATCCCCCTCCCACCCCCTCCCACCCCAGCCCACCCCCCTCACACCCCAGCCCACCCCAGCCCACCCCCTCCCACCCCAGCCCACCCCCTCACACCCAGTGCACCACCCTCCTATCCCCCTCACACCCCCTCCCACCCCAGCGCACCCCCCTCCTACCCCCTCCCACCCCCTCCCACCCCAGCCCACCCCCCTCCTACCCCCCTCCCGCCCCAGCCCACCCCCTCCCACCCCAGTGCACCCCCCTCCTACCCCCGCCCACCCCCTCCCGCCCCAGCCCACCCCCTCCCACCCCAGTGCACCCCCCTCCTACCCCGCCCACCCCCTCCCACCCCAGCCCACCCCCTCCCACCCCAGTGCAGCTCACCTCCCTCATGCCCTCATCAGAGTGTGCTGTGCCCCAGGCCCTGTGAGGGCAGCAAGCAGAGGTTCAGGCCCCAGCAGCTGACCACAGCTGTTCTGTTCCACAGCCAAACTGTCCTGCTCTTGGAGGGACGGATTACTTGGGTTTGATTTCAGGGTCTCACACTTAATACTATTTGACTCATGTCCCCAACCTCTGTGTGTGTGTGTGTGTGTGTGTGTGTGTGTGTGTGTGTGTGTGTGTGTGTGTGTGTGTGTGTGTCTGTGTGTGTGTGTCTGTGTGTGTCTGTGTGTGTTTAATTGGAGATAAGCATCTCACAGACTTTCCTGTCCAGGCTGGCTTTGAAGCACATTCCTTTGCTTTTAGCCTTCTAAGTATCTAGGATGACAGGTGTGAATCACTGGTGTCTAGCTCTCCAGCCTTTTTTTTTTTTTTTTTTTTTTCTGGTTGTGGGGCTTGAACTCTGGGCCTAGGCGCTGCTGTCCCTGTGCTCTTCAGCTCAAGGCGAGTGCTCTACCACTTGAGCTACAGCGCCACTTCCGGTTTTCTGGTGGTTTATTGGAGATAGGAGTCTCACGGTCTCTCCTGCCCGGGCTGGCTTTGAACCGCGATCCTCAGATCTCAGCCTCCTGAGTAGCTAGGATTACAGGCGTGAGCCACCAGCGCCCAGCTCTCCAGCTGTTTTTATGCTTATTTTTTATTGGATCTCATTTCCCTCCCAGGCCAAGCACCTAGACTGCAATCTCCTTAGCTTAGGATTCCTGGAATAGCTGGGATGGTAGATGCGTGACACCTTCCTCATTCAGCTTAGCGGGCTCATGAACTTTTTCTTCCCTTCCTCATTCAGCTTATCGGGCTCATGAAGTTTTTCTTCCCGAGCTGGCCTGAAACCTCGATCCTCCCAATCTCAGCCTCCCAAGTAGCCAGGATGATGGGCTTAAGCCACCAGCTTCTGGCTACCCTACTTTTGAATGCTGAGCTAGACCCCAGGGCCACGCACATGCTCAGCAAGTGGTCTTCCACTGTACAGGCGTCTGGACAGTGGGAGGTGCATCAGGCGGGGGATCTCGTATGGGGTAGAGGGAGCAGGAGCGGCAGCAGGAGATGCACATGTAAGAGAAGATGGACGTCCAGCACCACCGAGGGCGCGCTCCGCACCCCGGGCCACACACCGAGCAGCTGGGGCCGCTGGGGAGCAGCGGCGTCTCCTTTGGATATAGATGGCCCATTGTTCAGATGGGCCCCCTCTTTTGCTAAGACATGTCATTTGCCTCCCTCCAGTTTTTCTCTTCCTGTGTTTTAATGAAATTTGTCAAACCTAAAGTTGGATCATTTTTACTTTTTTTTTTTTAGCAGTACTAGGGTTTGAACTTGCTAGGCTGGCATGCTACCATTTGAAGCATGCCTCCCATCCAGTTTTTTGATGATTAATTGCCCAGGTTGACTTTGAACCATGATCTTTTGGGCATCAGCCTCCTGAATAGCTAGGAGTACAGACATGAGTCAAGCCGAGCACTTAAAATAATATATGCATGTATGTACACATGCTGCTAGGCATGCTAAGCATTTCCCTTTGGTGTTTTCTAGCTTATTTGCCAGAGATTTTTATATATGATCAGTAAGAGACCAGATAATCAATCACCCTCTCTGTTGTCTCCTCCACAGGGTGGCATGTATGTGTTTCAACTCTTTGACTACTATGCAGCTAGCGGTGTATGCCTTTTGTGGGTTGCATTCTTTGAATGTTTTGTTATTGCCTGGATATATGGTGAGTACAGAATTGTGCAGATCCTTTCTCAGGCTTCTCCCTGGGGCTTCTTTTCACTGAGGTGTGAGAGGCTTTGGCTGGAAGGCCTTGCCCTCCTGGGCCCTTTCCAGGGCAAGCCTCACCCTGTAGTCACATCACAGACAGCCCCGTGCTGAGGTGCCGGGTGTGAGAGGTGCTTTGACCAATAGAGAACCTGGATGAATGAGGGTCTGTGTGTGATCAACTAGCACCCCCAAGTGGCCCATGCTGACCTCCTAAGGCTTAAGTTTGCCATACCGGGATCTGGGCTCTGCCTAACACTGACCAAGAACAAAAAGATACAGGATGCCCTGTATTATTTGTGTTCCACACCATTTTGGTTATGCCACACCTGTGTGGAGACAGAGGCCTGATGATCCCAGAGGCCACACCCCAGCCCTGCCACCCCAGCCCCAGGGCGGCGCCGGCCTCGGACCCCAATCACCCGTGTCCCCCGCTGTGTCCTGCAGGCGGTAACAGCTTCTATGATGGGATTGAGGACATGATCGGCTATCGGCCCGGGCCCTGGATGAAGTACAGCTGGGCTATCATCACTCCAGTCCTGTGTGTGGTGAGTTCCACAAGGCTCTGGCTCAGCATGTTTACCGGGTAGCCAGTATTCCATTCTGCAAGGGCTGGTTGTTGGGCTGGTCGCGGTGTGTTTGGCGAGGAGCTGGTGGGGGGGGGAGTGGTCAAGCTGAGGCTGCGGCGTGGTGAGTCGGGAGTTCTGCCCATTCGTTGTCCATGGAGGAGGGGGTGTGGCAGCAGGCTGTTCTGAGCTCTCCCTTCCCTGCCGCCATCTTAGGCTCCACCTTGGTATGTACCTTTCAGCCCGTGCTTCAACCACTGGCAAGTGGCAGTTCCTCTATCACAAAAGCCGCTGCCCTGTCCATGTCCAAGTCCGGCCCAGACCCTAGATGCTTGTGGGAAACCTTGTCTGCACCCCGTTGTCACACCACAGGGAACACAGATGGCGGAAACACTCCTAGCATTTAGGAATCAGCATGGGGGGTAAACGGGCCCAGTGACCTCTGCTCCCTGGCGGGGTCAAACTGCTGCTAACGTAGCCAATTGCAAATTGCAGCCTCAAGCGCACCACTTCTCTGGGCCTCAGTTTCCTTACCTCTAAAGCAAGGCCTTTTCCCCATCACTGTTTAACATGACACGGGACTCCCATCAGGACGGTGTGCCCCTCCCCCCTGCAGCGGGAAACACCAGCAGCACTAGCGGTGGGCACACTTGGCCCCAGCACACACTCACTTCTCTGGGTCTGATCTTCCATTGTGTTTGCCCCCCGCCCCTCTTACCACTCTGACCCCTGTCTACTCCTCTCTGCCCCCCCCCCCCCCCCGCCCCAGGGCCAGAGCCCCACAGGCAGAAACCATGAGAAAGTGGGCAGGGCTGGGCGCCCTCCCACCATGCTGTACCCTGCAGAATTTGTCACAGGATGGAGTTGGGCCCAGTTGTAGATGGCCTATGACCACCTCATTCAGGAGCGGGGCTCCTACCAGCCTCTTTGCCAGGCCGAGGTGCGCAGTATTGGGGCCCTCAGGGCCAACCCCACCCCACTTGGAATCTCGCGACCAAATCCCAGCCTGGAGCCTGGGCCCGTGGCTTGGTTTGGAAGGGGGAGGCTGGCAGGGGGAGGGGAGACAACAGGCATTCACCCCTGCCCCACATTACTGTGCACCTGCTGCGTGCAGTCTGAATGGGCCTAGGTGAGCGGGGGGGGGGGGGGGGGGGGGGGGGCATTGGAGAGAGTGGGGTGAGTTGAGGGAAAAGAGGGCTGGGCAGAGGGAACAGCCCATACGAAGGCTCCGGGATAAGTGGCTCAGGAACTGGGAGGAGTCCAGGATGGCCAGATCGCACAGGTGGGGGCAGGGGAGAGGTAAGGGGAGGGTACACGGGCTGACCAGGGCGGCTGCGCTGAGAGTGCAGCCTTCCTGCACCAGGAGGCACCCGGCAGCTTTGTCAGACTGGCACCAGCAAGACCCTTAAGGTGGCAGAGCAGGCGGCCCCAGGGCGGGTGTGAGGCCCCAGGGCGGGTGTGAGGCCCCAGGGCGGGTGTGAGGCCCCAGGGTGCGTGTGAGGCCCCAGGGCGGATGTGAGGCCGCAGGGCGGGTGTGAGGCGGCCCCTAGGAGAGATCCACCCCGGGCTGAGGCCTGCCCCAGCTCCAGCAGCCCTGCCTCCGCACAGCCTGGGACTCTGACCGCCCCGTCTGCTTCTCCACAGGGGTGTTTTGTCTTCTCTCTGGTCAAGTATGTACCCCTAACCTACAACAAAGTCTATGTGTACCCGACCTGGGCCATCGGGCTGGGCTGGAGCCTGGCCCTGGCCTCCATGGTGTGCATCCCTCTGGTCGTCATCATCCGCCTCTGCCAGACCGAGGGGCCGTTCCTCGTGGTGAGTGGGGAGAGGGGCAATGGGGGTAGCGCCCAGGGCAGCTCTCTGCTGGTTTTCTGGGTGGCCTTAGGCAAGATGGCTGCCCTTTATGAGTCCTAAGTTGAGCTTGACCGTGGGAGACGTGCATTGTGGGCTGAGTGTGGGGGAAGGTGTCTCCGCATGGGACACTGAGGGGGACAGCTGGGCTGTGGGGGGCACAGTGGTCCTGTGGATCCCTCATCCCAGGAGGGAGACAGGAACCCCTACCCCTACCCCCCTGGCCAGGAGCCAGCCGAGGGTGAGCCCGTCTTGGCTCGGCCCGGCCGGGTTCCAGACCTGGGGCTGTGCGGCCCCCTCTGCCTGGGACACCCCACCCCCCACCCCCGGCTTCCCCAGCTCCCCTGCAGATTCCTCCCACAGTGCTCCAGGCCAGCAGGGCCAGGGCTCTTTCCAAGAACTTCGCTTCTCAGAATCTCTTTTAACCTTTGGGTCTGGGCTGATTCCAAGTCTACACTGTTTTGTTCTGGGACCTTTTTTATTGTTATTCTCTTCAAAAAAAAAATCTGGAGCCAGGATGTCCCGGGGCTCTGCCTCCCCCACAGGCGGCTTGTGTTTCCTTTGGGCCCGGAGTCGCCCCGAGGGGCTGTTGATAGCAGGGGGAAGGTGTGGGGCGGAGGTGGGGCTGAGGGGGACAGCACCGTGCCTCAGGCAGCAAGGCCTCCTGGGTATCACAGGGTTGGACCTGGTGTAGGTTCTGAGGAGTTGACATACTGCGCAGTGCGTGCGGAACACCAGCCTGGGGTGGCCGTGGCTCTGAGCCAAACCAGGCCCCCACCCTGGATACCCAGGCCCCCCAGAGTGCCAGGTGGGCACAGTGTTGCTGGGGGCGGGGTGGGTCTCTAGAGACCCACTGCCGGGGTGGGGACACCTAGCGGTCACTCACCTTTTAAAGTACTGGTCCGCCTGCGCTCAGAGTTTGGCTGGCACGGGAGGGAGGGCAGAAGCATGGCTGGGGTATGTGAGGAAGGTTCTCTGGATGCCTGGCCGGCACACCACCACACTGGGCCCCCGCTGGTGGCCTGCGGCGCTTGCGTACTGCCCTTAGTGTGGACAGCCCCCCAACCAGCAGGAAGCAGTGGGCCCCGGCAGCTGCCAGGCGGCCGGGCTGGAGCCGGGCAAAGACCAAGTCCACAGCTGGCAGCCAGGCGGGCCACGGGCCAAGAGCTGCCAGGTCTTAAGAAATGGAAGGGGGCAGCCGGGCGCCAGTGGCTCACGCCTGTCATCCTAGCTACTCAGGAGGCTGAGGATCGTGGTTCAAAGCCAGCCCAGGCAGGAAAGTCCATGAGCCTTCTCTCTAATAAACCACTCAGAAAACCAGAAGTGGCGCTGTGGCTCAAGTGGTAGAGCGCTCGCCTTGAACTGAAGAGCACAGGGACAGTGCCCAGGCCCAGTTCAAGCCCCATGACCGACAAAAAAAAGAAAAGAAAAGAAATGGAAGAGGGGCATCTTAAATGAGACTTCCTAGCTTGCACCTACCACGCATGCACTGCATTGTTCAACGTTTTTATTTTTGTAGCTGCTGGCCTCTCGAGGTCTGCGCAGACACTTGGCAGGACACAGGCTTAGAGACAGGCGTCCCGGGCCCCGGGCCAGCTCTGGCATGGCTTGTCTGGGGTTCTTCCCTTCTATGATGAGATGACTCACCTGCCCAGAATGGCCAGAGCTCCCCCCCCCACCCCAACCCAGAGCTGTGGGGGAGTCTGAGGGACTTGGGCCTGCCTGTGAGGAGGAGCTGGCAGCTGAGGAGGCCGAGGGGTGCCCAGGGTTCCCCCCGGAGCTGCGGGGCTACACAGCAGCCAGCCACACTGAAGGCACCAGGGCACAGACAGGAAGGGCACCTGCAGGGAGACGTGTGCGGCACGCACCTGGAATCGGCTGGGAAAACTACTTTTCCAACTCAGGGGACCAGCAAACTCCGTGGCCCCACTCCTTCCTTCCCAGAGAGACCCAAGAGCAGGAGGTGGGGGGCGGGTAGGGACCTGCCACACGGCCCACCCAGCTGCAGGCACAGCAGTGCCTAGGAATGGTGAATCAGTGAGGCCAACCAGCCGGCTCACGGCCTCTTCTCCCCGCCCCGCCCCCCCCCCCCCCCCCCCCCCCGGCTTGCTTCTGCAGAGAGTCAAGTACCTGCTGACCCCCAGGGAGCCCAACCGCTGGGCTGTGGAGCGGGAGGGGGCCGTGCCCTTCAACACCACCACCACCATGAACGGCGCCCTGGTGAAACCAACACACATCATCGTGGAGACCATGATGTGAGCTCGCCCGGGCCGGCCGCTTTCCCGCTGTTTACTAACATTAGATTCTCATAGGACCAGGTTTACAGAGCTTTACATTTGCACTAGGATTTTTTTTTAATTGTCACAGAAAATGTTAATGTTAAATGTGTGTGTGTGTGTGAGTGGGTGTGTGTGTGTGCGTGCGTGTTTATTGTGTGTGTATGTGTGTCTCTTGTTTTGATTTCGGGATATTTTGTATAAAAAGACAACCTGTGGGCAGATGTCCCGGGGGAGGCCAAGCTTTCATACTGAATTAGATGGGAACTTGGTAAAATCTTCCTTTGTAATTTTTTTAAACATGTAACTATACAGACACTTAAGAGACTGTCATACACTTTTACCACTTGAATTGATTTTCTTGCCAGCAATACATCTCAATTTCTCAAAAGCAGTCCTTCGGTGCTTATGTAGCTGGCAGAAAGTTCTGCTCCCCCCAGCCCCACCCCAGAAAACAACACGAAACAAAAGATCCACACTGGGTACAGTTTGCCTGGGATGGCAGGCACATCTAAGACGTGTAGCCCTTCTGATGCCTGGTGCAGGTAGGAAAGACCCACCAGCTGCAGAGGCCCAGGGGCAGGAGGACTCGGAGACCCTCTTCGTTGTTTGTCTTAGGAAGATAGATGCCAAAATAATGAGCCAACTCTCAAGACCAGAACAACTGACGGAGGTTACCGCTGAGGCCTCCAGCAGAAACGGTTGCTGGGGAGAACAATCAGTAGGACTCTCAGAGCCACCAGGAGCCTCGGCAGGGGAGAGAGGGAGAGGGAGAGAGAGAGAAAGAGAGGGAGAGAGGGAGAGGTGTAGCATGAAGAGGCTCCTGGGAGCCCCTGGGCCGGGGGTCTTGCAGAGGCCCATGTGTCTGGCGATGCTGGCAGTTCTGGGCCGTTCCATGCTCGGGCCTGAAGCCAGCTCAGAAGTGTGGGCATGAGACACTTAGAGCTAGGTGTTCCCCAGGCCCCGTGGATTTGTTGAGGGTACAGGAGAGGAGGGAAGGGGAGGCGAGTGGACCAAGCCATGTGGCCCCAGCGTGAGGACGGCAGTGTCCCCGGAGAGTTGCCCCTCCTGGCCTCCCGGCCCCCTTGGCTCTGACCTCACTGCCCTGGGCTGGGAGACTCGCCACGCTCTCGCTCAGAACGCCACCCCAGGGCCACCCCAGCCAGCAAGGAGCTACCTTTGAGTAGAGCCCAGAGCTACTTTTGAGGCTGGATCTTGGGTGCGGTGGGCGGGGGGCAGCTTGGTGGTGGTGAGCTGGCTGGCCTTGAGCCTTCCACGCTAAGCCTGGCAGTAGCTGCTGCTAGACATTCACTGTGTGGGGATGGAGGAGAGAAGGCAAGGTTGGCAGAAGGTTGGAATTGCAGGGGGCTGGCCCCCCTGAGCTGGCAGACCAGGCCAGGGCCAGGAGCAGGGCACACGGGCAGACACACCTCCGCCTGCCCAGCGATGGTCCCAACCGACACATCGTCACACGTGCGGCCACAAGGCTGCTGGCAGCTTGGAGAGCGGGGTTCTCCTCAAATGCAAGAGTCAGGACTCCCCCCTGCCCCCGCCCCCCCCTCCCCCCGGGGGCAAGTCTGGACCTCGTGTCTCCAACAAGTGTATACATTTCTCTGTTTCCAAAGCTATGTACTCTGCCAAACCACGCCGAGTCCTTTCCAAACATCAACCAGTTCTACCATGTTCCTATTTTTCTATGTACTTATGGTTGCCGTGGTGTCTGATCGAGTGTGTGTTGTTGTTTTGTCGTCATCTTACTGCGTAGCTATGTGACCTGTGTTCTTCTGTCTTACGGAACTTTAGTAAACTAACCACTGATGGGTGAAGACAGGTGACAGGAGAGCGGGGCGGGCCTTGTGGTCACTTCCGTCTTCCCTTCCCTCCCTGGTACCCCGCGTGCAAGGCGTCAGTATTCTGGGTTGGTAGACAAATTGCAACATTCTGGAAAGGCCTGAAGAAAGTCTCTTCTCATAAGATTCCCAGACCAAATTCTAGACCAAAGACACAAGCAGACCAAGTCTCCAGCGCTGCCTGGATGAAAGGTCGCCTCCTCCCCCGTGTCCCCGGCCTCCCGGACACCTGTCTCCAGTTCCAGTCCCGCGCCCGCTCCCGGGCTCTGTCCCATGTGCAGTGACGATTGTCTTCGTGTCGCCGTATGAGTGACATTTTTTTCATTAGAGCTCGTGACTCCGGTCCACCCGTGTCTTGCCAAGTAGCTCTCTGCTTGGGACGGTCAGACATTCTGACCGCACGTCGCCCAGCCTGCCAGGGCCAGACAGCAAGCGCAGAGGCACCATAAGGAAACAAATGGCTGAGCTGCCCCGGGGGACACGTCATTGGTGGTCCTGGGGCCATGGTCAGTGGGGGAAGGGCGCCAAGGTCCCTGATCCAATGTCTTCATTGTACATGGGGAAACCGAGGCCCAGAGCAGACGGGGGGGGGGGGGGGGGGGGATGGAGATTTGACTGCCTGCTGTACTATCTCCAAGGTGTGCATGTGAGGTGGGCGTGGCCGGCTTCCACCATAGGAAACACACACCTTCCCCCACCCGTAGACCCCAGGCCCCAGCCTGGAGGAGAAATGAGCTCTGACCACCACCCCAGTGACCCTCCATTTCCTGGCTAGGAGATGGGGAGGACTGAGACCCCCGCACAGCAGGAAAGCAGCCCAGGCCCAAGGCTTCCTAGGAGGAGCCCTTGGTCCCCGGGAGGGAGCAGGAGGCACCCCTCGGCCTCCCGCGGCTCTCCCAGCACAGCACCAGCCTCGCCCGCACTGCAGCTCTCCACCAGACGCGCTCTGGGCAGCCAGTCAGAGCAGAGCCCCTACTGCTCCCCCAAGACACACAAGCCAGGAAGGCACCCCAGAGCGAAAGCCCCTCAAGGTCTCACCTAGCCCTCAGGCCCGTCGCATGGGTGCTGTAAATACCTCTGTCTGCGAACCCCCATCCAGTGCAAAGCCACAAGACTAAACCCAGGGAGCAGAAGGGAGAGCCCCCCCTCCCCCTCCAGGCCTTCCCTCAGAAACATGGCATCTTCAGAGAAAGCTGGCTGCCCTAGTTCTCTGGGCCGTCTCCGCAGGCTTGCTCTCCTTCCGCAAGGAGGACGTGGGCGTCTTGTTATATATCTGGCTTCAATCTGAGATGGTTACTCCATTATTATTATTTTTTTACCCAATTAATCTTCCCAATCCCTAACAACTGTGACTCTGTATTCAGCACAAGAAAAAGCCAAGAACGTGGGTTTGCCTCCTTCCAGAAATATGTCTGGCTCATCAGGACATTTTTTTAAAAACTTCAAAATATTTTTAAGGTATTTTAAACTTTTGTAAAAAATAAAAACCAAAAAAACTGAAATCAACCAACGAGAGGAGGAATTTGTATCTGAGCAAGACCCTGGCGTGTGAGTCAGTCTCCAGTCTCGCAGTATACGAGCTTTTGTGTATAAATGTTTTATGATATGGATCCCTGTATTTTGCAGGGTTTTTTTCCCCTCTTTTGCTTTTTAGATAAATATGTATATCAATATTTTAAATTCATCTTTGCTTTTTTTAGAGGAGTTTGTAATCACCTTATAACATGACAATAAACATTTCCTTTTTAAAATTCAACACGTGTGTTGTATTTGGCAAGCGCCTTGCGGGCTCAGGCCTGCTCTCCAGCAGAAGGCTGTCAGGGTTGGGAATAGTTGCGTATCATAATGAGAAACCTCGGGATAGGACTTTTTATAATGCACCAGCCTGAAGGCCATTTTATACAGTATTCGAGGGCTCCCACGATTTGACTGCGACCTTGGGATGCAGGAAGCAGGGGGGATGGTAGGCCCGTGAGCCAGGCAGAGGTGGTGCTGGGTTGATGCTCAAAGTTTCAGCACCTGGGCGCTGATGGCTGACTCCTGTAATCCTAGCTACTCAGGAGGCTGAGATCTGAGGATTACTGTTCAAAGCCAGCCTGGAAAATCCACAAGACTTTAATTTCCAGTGAAGCACCAAAAAGCTGGAAATAAAGCTGTAGTTCAAGCAGTAGAGCACTAGCCTTGTGCAAAAACAGCTCAGGGACGGCACCCCGGCCTAGAACTCACACACACACACACGCACACACACCGTTTCAGATCTTTTGCCAGGCACTGGTGACTCAGCCTATCAGCCAGCTACTCTGAACTAAGGTGTAAGGTAGCCTCCTGAGATGAGCCCGTGCTGCTTACTGGCTTGCTGATGTCACCAGAATCTGCACTCTAGCTCAGACCACCTGAAACCCAGTAAATGGTAGAGGGGTGTGTGTGTGTGTGCGTGTGTGTGTCTTGAAGCTTTAACTCAGCCTGGACGCTGTCCCTGAGCTTCTTTGCTCAAGGCTAGCGCTCTGCCACTTGAATTACAGCTCCCCTTCTGGGTTTTTTTTTTTTTTTTTTTTTCCCCTAGTTAATTGGAGCTAAGACTCTCACTGGCTTTCCTGCCTGGGCTGGCTTTGAACTATGATCCTCAGCCCTCAGCCTCCTGAATAGCTAGGATTACAGGTGTGAGCCACCAGTGCCTGACATGACAGAGGTTTTGAGTGGATGAATGCTCTAGAAAGCAAGTGAGATCACACAAGATTGACACACAAACTGACCCTGGTAAGCCCATGAATTTTTTTTTTTAAAAAAGCAAATAGCCTACTCTTAAGTGCATTTTAATATTTATTAAAAATTCATCCCAACAGTGACCTGCCGCCCCGCCCCCAGCTGCAGTCCCGGCAGGACAGAGGTACACACGGGCCCAAACATCACTGGCAGCTTTTGGCCTGCTGGCTTGTGCTTCCAGAGAGCCCCAAGAACTCCCAGTAGAAAAATAATTTACACAGAATAGGCTCTCAGCCAGAGAAAAATACAGCTTTAGGGGTGGGGGAATGTCACCCAAAATGCAGGGATGGGGGGGCTCCGGGGTTGGTGAAGGTCAGGTCTGGACGGATGCGTGTGAGATGCCAGAGGGACTATTGCATATGAGGAGGCCTGGCCAGGGCCGCCCCCCACCCCCAGCCAGGCCCAATTGCATATGTGTGGGAAAATAGCAGAGGCCCAGCCCGAGGACGGCCAGCCTGGATGTGCTTTCTCTTGCCTGGAGTCCCGGAATCCTGGAGTCATGTGGCTTTCCTAAGGGGAGGGACCCTGAGAGTGTCCGGTCCAGCCATGTTACCTAACAGGCCCCGAGAGGCCAAGAAGCCTGCCCAAGGTCACACAGCTTGTGGCTGCTGGCGGCCCAGGAGCCATCTCTGCTATCCTCAGCCCTCCAAGCAGAGCTCCGCTTTTACTCGACGCCCCTGCATGGGGGGCTAGTGCCTTTCTCCCTAGTGTGACCGCAGAGGCTCTGAGGGCAGGGCCTGGGCTCAGCCACTGTCCACCCAACTTCCCAGAGGAGCACGAGCCCGCAGGGGTCAGCCAACAGGGAACCAGGGCCGAGAAAGCTGGCTCCTTCCTGCAACTGGTCTTGGGTGGAAGCGCCTTTCCCTGGCCTCTGTGGGGCCCAGGAGTGGAGCACACAGCAGGGCGGGGGAGGAGAGGCCCCTGGTTTGAAACCCATCTCAGAGCCCTGTGGGAGGGAAACGGGGACCGGCGGAACCCCCAGCAGCCCTCCAAACCCACGGCCAGACCGCACCTGGGCCGTGCTCAACACCAAATGGTTCTCGCTGCATTGTGAAACTGGAGGCAATGGTGTGGGGCCGCCAGGGCCGCCGGGGCTTCCAGGTTGCAAGAGAGACAGACTCCACCTCGGGACCCTGGAGGCTGTCCCTGCGGGCCTCCCCCCCCCCCCCCCCCCCCCCGCCACCTCCACCCCAGCTCCTCTCCCCCTCCACGGCTGGGACGTCGCCAGGCGCCCACCTCCCCTCTGCCTCCTGCCCACGGACAAGCCGCCGACCTTCAGTGGCTGGGACACCAGACACCTGGCTTGGGGCGTCCTAAGAAGGTACGCAGAATTAGAGGTCCTCGTGCCAGCCAGCCCCAACGCCAGGAGTCGGGCCCAGGGAAGGTGCTGGCTCCTTCCTGAGCCTCCGCCCATCAGGAAGTGGAACATCACCCGCTCGCCTGGCACTTCAGTCCCTGACTCAGGGAGGGCCTCAGCCTGCGTTGCTTACCTCTCCTGACAGGGAGCTCGCTCCCGGCAGGGCCTGGGGATCCTCCCATTCCCCCCACCTACACCTCTCTCCCTGGCTGCGCAGCCATCCCAGCCCCTTCGGAAGGGGCTTCTCTGGGCATCTCAGAGACCTAACTTGATGAAGACCCAGATGTAGCTCCAATTAAGGCTGGGACCTCGCTGCCTGGGACCACAGAAGTGGGGCGCAGAGACCAAGGCCCAGCCCTGGCTCGGAACCTCCAGGCACACAGTTGAGCAAGGTGTGCCCTTCTCTAGCCCAGCCCTGCCATGTCCGGACCACAGAAGGCCTTCAGAGCATCTGGGCGCTGCTGGGGGCTGGCGTGCGGGGCATCCGGCGGCTCTGGGCCAGGGGGTTGCGGCTGATGACCAGCTCCAAGATGTCGCCTGCCTCTGCCAGGAGTGGCACTGCCAGGCAGCAGTCGAAGTCCCGCGTGCGGACATGGTTGACCTGCAAGGGACACAAGCAAGGGACAGGGCAGGGGATGTGTAGAGTGGCTGAAGAGGTGGGAATTGTATGATTTCCCAAAATAGGGGCCTGCCCCAGCCTTGGTTAAATTCCTGTACACACAGAGGAAGTTGCTCGTCATTAACTCAGTTCTTCTGGTTAGGCAGCAAAGAGAATGTTCTAGGGAGACACCTGCATACCTTTCAGGCTCCTCTAACTTTGCTCCTCTGTGTGTGTGTGTGTGTGTGTGTGTGTGTGTGTATGTGGGGGGGGGTGACACTAGGACTTAAACTCAGGGCCTCACACCTTTGCTTAGCTTTATCGCTCAAGGCTGGCACTATTCATCTGAGCCACAGCTTCACTTCCAACTCTTTGCTGGTTAACTGGAGATTAAGAGTTACTCCAATTTATCTGCCTGGATTTCAGATTTATCTAGATTTCAGATCACAGCCTCTTGAGTAGCTAGGAATACAGGCGTGAGCTCTGGGTAGCCAGCTTTCTCTCTTTTCAACATAAAAGGTAGGGTATATGGAAGGCAGGGTAGATGGAGCTCAAGGGTCTGGGGTCCATACTCAGCATCAGCAACACACACACACATACACACACATGCACGCATGCACACACACACACACACACACAGCCTCCTGCCTACTGTTTGGTGACAGTCCTTGTTTCTGTTTTGTTTGTATTTTACCTTGAATGTCCATCTTAGACAAGGGATACTGATTTTTCATTCTTGAGATAATTCCCTTTCAAAAATAAATGTAAATTAGCCAAGTGTCGGTGGCTCACGCCTGTCATCCTAGCTACTCAGGAGGCTGAGATCTGAGGATCGTGGCTCAAAGCCAGCCCGGGCAGGAAAGTCTGTGAGACTCTTATCTCCAATTAACCACCAGAAAACTGGGAGTGGCGCTATGATTCAAGTGGTAGAGCACTAGCCTTGAGCTGAAGAGCTGAGGGACAGCGCCCAGGCCCAGAGTTCAAGCCCTACTATGGACCAAAAAAAAAGAAAAAAAAGATATAAAAAATACATAAATTGAAAAAGGCTCATCGATTTAGAGAAAACATGAGTACATTGAAAATAAAAATGGCTAAAACAAGTAAAGGAACATAATCAGCTAAGGCAGGGGGCAAGGGTGGTTCTGAAGTGGTTCTGGGTGGTCCAGGGTAGCCTAGATGGCCAGGCCACACGGCCCAGGCTCCCTTGGGAAAGTAAGGTAGGTCACATGACTGGCTCTGGCCAATAGATTGTGAAGGAAGAAGACAGGTGAATTCAGGGGGAACCAAGCCTGTCATCCCGGCTCCTCCAGAAGCCGAGGAGTGGCTGTGGAAGGCCACTGGGGACAGAAAAGTTCAGGAGACTCTGTCTCCACAGACGGCAGGGCCCAGGGGTGCTCGCCTGGCATCGCAGCACACAGGGTCTGGACCCAGGCTTGCAGTGGTAAACAGACCCTATCTTGGAAAAGGGGTCGGAGCATCTGCTCAGCTAGCATGAGGCCCTGGGTTCAATCTCCGGTACTGCCAAAAAAAGCAAATCATTTCTCCTGTGGAGGTGTCTGTGTAGGCTACTTGGGAAATGGGGACCCCAAGGAGGTGGGCGCAGGGCCTTGCCTCCTTGGTGCCAATGCCCGGTGCTGCAGGTGGAGGTGTTGGTGCTGGGCATCGCTCCTACCCACCCTTCCCACTTTTTGCAAGCGGGGGTCTGGCCTGGTCCCCGTCACTGCCGCGACCCACCTTACCTGCAGGAGCCTGTCGAAGGGCCGCAGGCCCCCACGCTGGGCCGGCCCGTCAGCGCGTACCGTGTGCACATAGACACCCTTCTCCAAGAGACCGTCCGAGACGCTGAAGCCAAAGTCATTCCGCAATGGGTCCTTGTGCAGCGTCACCTGGGGACAGGAGGCGGCGCCGGCCCTGGAACTGTGCCCTGCTGCAGCTCACCCCTTGGGCTGGCATTCGGTGCCCCTGGGGTCCAGGTCCAGGCTGTTGTCCAGCTCACTTCCACAGACAGCAGCCTGCTGAGCCCATGCCAGGCCCCCATGCGCCCCGGCCCCACGTCACAGCACCCCGCGCCCCTGGGGCCTTAGCTGGAGGCCCCAGTCCCGCTTCCTCTGGGCCTGCGGAACCTGAGAGGCCCCGGGCATCCTGCCACCCGGACACCTGTGGTCCTTAAGGGCAACGCTGCCTGCCACCCACAGGCTGTGGGCAGCCGTGGCTCGCAGGGGTCTCTGGTCGGTGGTGTTCCTGCCAGAGTGCCGGCAGGTGCCAGCTTCTGGCCCCAGGTAGTTATGGAAAGATGTGAGAGAAACTGATGTTTGGTTGGCCCACAGTTCCAAGCCCACCTGGGCAGCAAAGTCCATGAGACTCTTACTTCCAATTAATTACCAAAAAGAGAAAAAAAAAGCCAGAGGTGGAGCTATGGCTCAAGTGGTAGAGTGCTGGCCTTATGCAAAAAAGCTCAGGGACAGCGCCCAGGCCCTGGATTCGAGCCCCAGCACACCAAAAAAGGTTCTTCCCCCTACATATATGTTAGATAGGTAGTTGGTTAATGTCTGATTGCAGAATTGGCAGATGAGGAGGGCTGATTACATACACACGTGCACAGCGATATGTGTGCTCTATAAATCTTTATGTATGTGCGTGTGTGTGTGCGTGTGTATATATATATCTTGTATATGTATATACAAGCAGGAATAAAAAAAAAAAAAGGTTTTATTCCTCTCTCTCCTTCTCCTACCCCCCCCCCCCCGTCAGTTGTGGGGCTTGAACTCAGGGCCTGGGTGCTATTCCTGAGCTCTTTTTTGCTCAAGGCTACCACTCTATCACTTGAATTCACAGCTCCAATTCTAGTTTTCTGGTGGTTAATTGGAGGTAAGAGTCTCACAGGGGCTTTTCTGCCTGGGCTGGTTTCAGGTCTCAGCCTCCTGAGTAGCTAGGGTGACAGGTGTGAGCCTGGTGCCCACCTTCTGTTTTCTGAACCCGGGTTTCATTGTGTAGCCCAGGCTGGCCTGGAATTCATAATCGTCGGAGTGCTGAGATCACAGGAAAACACCACCAAGCAGGGTTCACAAGCTGCCCATAGAAAACCACATGTGGGAAATGGCCCGTTAGTGTCACGGGCATGTGTATGTGCGTGTCCGGGTGTGCTCACTCCCACACGATGAGCGTTGCAGGAGACCACCTAGTGTAACACCCCTCCTCTGTGGTGGAGGAGAGGCCCACGGGGCAGGGCTGTGTGAGTCCACGGCCGGTGCTCGTGGCCCTCAGAGCCCCCCCCCCCCCCCGTGCCCGCCCTCAGTGCCCACCTTGTGCATCTCCAAGGGTGTTGGTAGCAGCAGCTCCTGCAGGTCTTCGTGGGACTCTTGGATGTCCCGGGCCCTCCGCCAGGGCCGGGGACCAGGTCTGCCCTCCAGGGCCGCGCTGGGCACAGTGCCCATCATGATGGAGTTCTGTGAGGGGACAGGGCCACTTCTCAGATGCCTCTCACCTGCTCCACCAGTCAGTCAGCACCCCCCCCGCCCCACCCCCCCTGCCCTGGGCACTGTTCTCTGGGGTCACTGTGGTGGCCCTGAGCCCTAGGCGGGGTGGAGCGTCATTCACCAATCAAACCAGAGGAGAGCCCTGCAGCTGCCACTGGTTCATCTCTCCATCCACACTGAACTCATTTTCTCCTCTGCACACCTTAGCATTTTCTCCCACTTTATTCATGAGCAAGATAAGATTTGAACCCAGAGTCTTGCTGCAAAGTCAGGGCTCCTAACCCCTATGCTCTTGCTAATCATAAACACAAATAAGAAAATGGTGAGCTTGACAGAAGAAGGAAGCGCCCAGAACAGTGGGAAGAGACAGAAGAGAGGGGTCCCGGCAGAGGGGACAGCTGTGCACAGGCCCAGGGGTTCCTCCGCCTCCCACCAGAGACAAAGTAAAGGAGACATCGCCAAACGCACAGCAATGGTAGCATTGCTTTCATAGAACAAGAAGTAAAGGTGTCTGAGAGCCAGTGAGTCACGCCTGTAATCCTAGCTACTGGGGAAGCTGAGAGCTGAGGATCCTGGTTTGAAGTCAGCCTGGGGGCAGGTCTGTAAGATCCTTATCTCCAATTAACCACCAAAAGAAGCCCCCAAAACCTAGGACTTGAAGTGGAGGCGTGGCTCAAGTGATGGAGCGCTAGCCCTGAGCAAAAAAGCTAAATGGTAGCCCCCCAGGCCCTGAGTTCAGGTCCCAGTCCTGGCACACAAAAACAAAACGGAATAAGGGGTTGGGATGTAGCTCAGTGGCAAAGCACTTGCCTAACAAGTGCAATGTCCTGGGTTCAATCCCCAGTACCAAAACACATACACACGCACACACACACACACACACACACACACACACACATATACACATATACATATGTCTATATATTGCATGGCTATATATATATATTGCACGGTTTTATATATATATATATATATTCCATGGCTATATTGCATGGCTATATATATATATATTGCACGGTTTTATATATATATATATATATATATTCCATGGCTATATTGCATGGCTATATAAATACATATATAAAACTGTGCATATACACATATATGTATATGTGCAATATATACATATATATACATACATATATGTATATGCACAGTTTTATATATGTATAATATATGGTTGTGTTAAGGCCTCATTGGACCCTGATACCCATGTGAGAGCATGCACACACACACACACACACACACACACACACACACACACACACACGTCACCCAGTGTGCCCAGATGCACTGGCCTGCGGCCAGCGGCCCCTGCCCCATACCTCTAGTCCCCTGAGCAGCTCTGACTGGCCGCAGGACTCGAGGTCTTCCAATGCCTCCCCCAGCACTCTCCAGAGCCCCTCGTCTCGGGCAGGGCCGGGGCCTGGGCTGTAACGTAGGAACCACAGCATCAGCTCCTGGCCGGCCGGTGGGTGGACTGCGGGCTGGGCCTCAGTCTTCAGGGCCTGGCTCGTGGGGCCATGGGGTGGGCAGGCGGGCAGGCGTGTGTCTTTGGTGGCAGTGCTGGGACCCCAGGGCAGTGGTTGGTGACACAGAATGGGAGGGACGCAGTTAGGGGTGACCAGGACTGTTGGTGACCAATTAGAACAGGGGCAGATGAGATGGGGTGGAGAACGCTGACACAGGACGCCTGGGAAGAGAGACAGACCGACAGAGAGATGGACAGAAAGACAGAGGAGATCTGTGGAACAGCCCAGAGGAAGGGCCGTGGGCTGCCCCCTCCCCAGACATGGGGTGCTGTAGGATGGGGGTGGGGCAGAGCTGGAGTCCGTCAGGACACAGACAGATGGAGGGGACAGGAGGACTGCCCCAGGAAGCGGTCAGCCGCAGGGAGGTCACGTGCAAAGCCCCCATGGCCCTTGGCACCGGGGCCTGCCAGCGCTCGCCTCCACTAAGCCCGAAGGCCGGCTCTTCCCTTCCCATTCTGTAGGCCGCATGCCTGAAGCCCAGGGGCCTGGGCCTGACAGGAACCAGGCACGAGTATGAGTTCTGGTCTACCATGGCTCCCGTGAGCACAGGAACTTGCCAGAACAGGAGAGCCGGCCAGGCCACCCCCCACCCCCACCTCTGCCCTTGAGTCCCTTCCGCCACCCCTCACCTTCTCCTGGGCCTTTCCTCTGGCCTGGCTGCCAGATCTGCCCGTATACCCCCTCCACCCCCCATCCCCACCTCTCTGGCCCAGAGCCCAGCTTATTCCCCCCCCCCCCACCCCCCACCCTGGCCATGGTGTCCCACTACAGACCTCGCTGGAGGATTCCAGGCCCCGTCCTCCTCCTCCTCCTCCTCCTCTCCGGGGAACTCACGGGATGCCCGGGGGTAGCTGGCCCTGCGGGGCTCGACGGGTGCGGGGCTCCTCAGCCTGCCAGGCTGCCACTCCTGATGGATCGCAGCCCGGCCTGCTGCCTGCGGGGCGCGCGCTGGCGGGCGGAGAGGGGCAGCAGTGTTGGTCCCGTCCATCCTCGCCACGCCCCCACCCCGACTCATGCCCAGCCACCTGAAGGGACCAGGACCGTAACGGCCGCTCTCTGTGCATGTCAGCCAGCATCCTCCACAGCTATGCTGCCTGTCTAACAGAGAGCTCTTGCTGGGGCTCCAGTGGGCACAGCATGGCTGTGCCCAGCCAGGAAGGGAGGCCCTATACTGATGCCTCCTCTTTCAGCCTCTGGTGGTCCTGCTCTGATGCTCCTGCCTTGAACCATCTAGAGCTGGGCTTGGGGAAGCAGACACCCAGCAGGCAAGGGCCTCCAGGGAGAACCGGCCTTGCTGCTGGAGGAGGAGCTGGGGAGCTCCAGGGGCTCAACTGCAGGTCACAGGCCTCCGCACAGGGGCAGAGGGGGTGGCCTGGCGGTGGCATGGGGGCCTGGTCCTACAGGATGGGCTGGGAGGCCGCTTTCTGCGCCCCCCCCCCACGTCTTCCAGTGGATGCAGAGTGCACTGACTGAGCACCTACTACGTCCAGACACAGGGGCGCGAAAAGGAGTTGGCTTGGTCCTCGAGCTCATGGTGAGGAAATCTGAACCAAACAGGCCCCGCTCCACACTCGCGGCCATGGGCCCAGGCTGGGGCTGGGCCTGCTCAGCTCTGCACCTGAAGAGTAGAGCTGGAGAGGGGCGGGGCGGGGGCAGCTGAGGGAACCGGCTCCCACAAAGGCCTGTCCAGGAGCCCAGTGTTACCTGAACCCCTGAAGCCCCTCTCCATGGCCGAGCTGCCCCAGGACTCCACGGCACTGTCCACGCCGGGCACAGCTGGTGGGCAGCGGGCGGCCAGCAGGCCCCCACCGAGGGCCTCAGGCATATCCTCGCCCGCATCACTGGCCTCGCTGAGACTGCCTGACTTGCGGGGCGAGGGGGCACCTAGGAGGAGGGGGCATGACCTCTGACCTCGAGCAAACTTCAGTCAGTTTCTCCACCCGAGCGTGGCTGGCAGCTCCCGGGGCTGCTACCGTGTGGGTGGGCAGCCAAGGGGGCAACGCTCGTTCGTAGATGGGGAAATGGAGGCTCAGGAAGCTGAACAACTTGCACAAGGTCAAACAGGGAGCAGTAGTGGCACCCCAGTTAGAAGGAAGACCCTCCAAATCCAGGGGAAACGGAAGCGCACAGCATTAAGGACGGGGGCCGCAGGGCGCAGGGGCTGCACGCTCTGGGCCCCTCCCCCTCACCCCGCCCCGCCCCGGGAGTGTCCCGTTCCGTTGTCTGAGCCATCCTCCCTTTCCCACTCCCAGGGCCGGTGGCCAGGACACGGCTCGGCCCGGAGGCCAGGCAGGTGTGGAGGGACGGCCCGGGGATGGAGCGAGGCTCACAGTCCGGCTGCTTCTTGATCTTCAGCGTGACTGTCTCGCCGGCCATCTGCAGGAGGTGGATGGCCTCGCTCAGGGGCCGGCCCTTGAGGCTGACACTGTTGATGGCCAGGATGCGGTCGCCGACGTGGATGGCGCCGGTCCTGAGGAGGGACGAGGGCACGGGGTGAGACACGCAGCGGCTCGGCACGGGACGCCCCGGGGCCAGGCCTGGCTGACCTCCTACCGCAGAGAAGACAAAGAACGGGAGGCGCCGCTGCCCACGATCGAGGGCCCCAAGAACAGAGGGCTCAAGCCCATCGCGAGGGGACCGTCCAGCAGGCGCTCTGGGAATGACAGAGCTCCCCACACTAGCTGCCAAACACTAAGTACAGGGTCCTGGGCAGGGTCTCCCTTTAACATGGGGGATCCCTGATGCTTATTTTCCAATTCTAATCGAGGGGTGAAATATATGGAGTGGATTCATTCTCCCCAGAAGAGAGTCTCTGTAGCCTTTCTTCTTCCCGAGCCTCACTTTCCCTGGCTGCAGCGTGATCACAAGCCCCGGGGCCGGGCCAGCCTCGTGGAGGGCTGACAGAGCAGGCCCCATTTGGCCCAGCAGTTTTCTAAGGGGTCATTGATTCAAATTACCCCCAAGAGCTTTTTGAAAAATGCAGAAACCTGGCCACATGCCCCTCTCTTCTGTGATCTGGGGGGGGGGGGGTGAGGGGGGAGCAGTGGAGGAGCACAGTGGTACAGTGCCCAGGGCTGCGGTGGGAAAGGCGCTTTGGCAGGGGTAGCTGGGGAGGGCTGGGGTCCAGGAGCGAGAACTGAACACTGGACACCTTCAGTGGGGGCTCAGGAGGGCAGAGACCTGGTCTTGCCCAGAAAGCCCTTGCTCTGGAGGCCGGGGAAGGGGCGGGCCGGATAACACCTTCAGGAAGGGGTTACTGACCGGTCCCAACCAAGATTAGCAGATAATCTAAAGTCCACACTGTATTGGGCGGCTGTTCTGTGAGGACGGCTCGGGTCCTTGGTTAATAGTTTGACATCAATCCCATTTCAGTCTCCTTTGGTTTCTTTGTCCTTTTAGAATGCAGCCACTTGAAGCTGACACATTGCATTGTATCTGGACCCCTGGGGCCTCACCCTGGACAGGCAGGGGTCCGTCCTGGCCTATCCGTGCCGGGCCGGCACCCTCGGTGTACCACTCCAGCGGACCTGGCCTCTGCAGGAGGATGGCCGCACAATCTGCCTGGAGCCCAGCAGGGGGCGCCATGCCTCGCCTTCCGGCAGATCCCACCCTCCCTCAATTGTCCATCAAGGACAAGTGCTAGCTTCTCCAGGGAGTGGCCTGTCCCAGAGCGGGGACGGGGTGGGGGGGGGAGGGGCGGCAGAGAGGGGTCCCCTTATCAGCCAGGGCCTCCTGCCCCAAAGCTCACCTAACACCTTGCTGCCAGAGGAGAAAGCGGAGACTCACTCTCTCTGGGAAAGTGGGGGCCCCCTTCTTAACGGCCCCTAGTGCTTCAGGGGGGCACTTCCTAGGGGAAGGGTAACAAGAAAGCCCCAAGGCCTTGATTTCCCCATCTGGGCTGGTCCCAGCACCGGGGTGCCGTTGCCACCCCCACCCCCAAATTCAGGAGCCCAGAGGCGCTGCCAGAGCGGCATTGAAGCTCACTTCAGGAGGGGACAGAGTAGCCCAGCACTTTCCTGGATTGGGTCTGCCGGCCGCCCCCCTCCACCCCCAGCCTGACCGGTCCCTTCCCCTGGGAGGCTGGACTGACATTTTCATTGTATAGATGGGGAGCTGCTGCTCACCGAGGGCCAGTGCCTTGCTCGGTATCACTCAGCATGGACTCGGAACAGAAGTCGGAATCTAGCTGGGCCCGAAGCCCTCGTCTGGTTCCAGGTCTGCCCCCCCACCCCCATCCCCACGGGTCCCAGCTCACCTCTCGGCCAGGCCACGTTTGGTGAGGCCAGAGATGACAATTGGGTCGAAAGGCTCCTCTGTACCAGAGATGGTGATGCCCAGGGGGCCGCCGTAGCGTTTGAGCTCCACCGTGTAGCTGACTGCCCCCGAGCCCTCCTGGTCATCTGCAAGGGGTCGTGGCAAGGGTCAAGGGTGGGGACAGCAGCGAGGGACAGCGGTGGGGGTCAGCAGGAGAGGAAGGAGCTGGGCTCCGCCACGGGGTCCTGGCACAGCCGTGGTATTCATCACCCATCCATACACAGCCACACGGCACAGCCCTGAGTCTCCCTTCCTCCCCAGCCTGCTGCCTGCTTGCCATTAAGAAAAAAAAAGACATAGAAGAGATGAAATGCAGAGACTCGGGGCCTGGGCGCTGTCCCTGGGCGCTTTTTTTCTTTTTTTTTGCTCAAGGTTGGAGCTCTGCTACTTGAGCCACACCTCCACCTCCAGCTTTTTGGTGGTTCATTGGACGTCAGAGTCACAGACTTTCCTGCTTGAGTTGGCTTCAGTCTGAGATCCTCCGATCTCAGCCCCCTGAGTAGCTAGGATGACAGGCATGGGAAATGCTGAAAACGACTGATTTTGTGCATCACCCTAAGAACAAGAAGATGGTGGTTGGAAGAACCCAGGTTTCTAGCTTTTTTAAAAAGGAAGAAGAATCTGCCCGTGAGAGGCTCGTCCACGGGGGCGGGAGCGGCCGCTGCCGGACCTCAGGTCCGCCCTGCTTCGCCCCTCTCCAGCCTCTGCAGTTCCCGCTTCGCTCCCCTGGGGCGCCTGTGCGGGGGGGGGGGGGGGGGGGGGCGGGCAGGGGCTGGCGTTCTCAGCCCTCACCAGCACACACAGCCCCACCCCCACTCAGCAGCCGCTCCTCTTTCGCCATGCAGGTTTGGGACACAGGGAGACCAAAGGCAGCGGCTCAAGCTCCCTGAGACCTGGGGAGAGCCTGAGGCCCTGCAGGCATTCGTTGGGCGTCCACCGGGCGGGGGGGGGGGGGGGGGGGACGGGCGTGGCGTGGAGGGGGGTGGGGGGAGGGCGGGCGCACCCGAGTTGTCCTCATCTTTCTGGATCTTGAGCTTCACCAGGTCCTCGCACTGCCGCAGGATCTGCATGGCGTCCTGCAGGGGGCAGTGGTCCAGGCGGATGTTGTCGATGGCCAGCAGCTTGTCACCCGGCTCCAGGGTGCCCGTCCTGCGTGCACGGGGCAGGGCAGGAGACGTGTGTAGGCGGGTGCCGTGAGCCGCAGGGTGCCAGCGGTCTGGGGCACACCTACCTGTGTGCCACGCTGCCCTTCTTGATGTCCGAGATGATCAGGGGGTCCCCCCGCCTCCTGCTGGCCGCTGCGGAGAGAGGAGCCATGAGCGAGCCCGATCCCGGACGGCCTCAGCCCCGGGGTGGGCGGTGGAGGCCGGCAGTCAGGACAGGGGACCCCTACCTCCTGGTGGGGGGATGGCCAGCCAACGGCTTGCCTCCCCATGCCTCAGTTTCCCTTCTGAAAAATGGAGATGGTGATCACATCAGACAGGGCTGTGGCCATCACAGGCCCCACAAGGGCTCTGGGCCGGTGACCAGCAGCCCTTCCTGTCCACCTGGCCGCTCCCCGAGCTGTCCCAGCAAGGCCTGGAGTGGGCTGGTGGCTCGGCCCCAGGCCCCAGAGCCCTGCTGTGTGCCAGGCATGTAGGACACAGCAGGGCAGGGCACAGGCAGGAGGAGCCAGTGAATTCGTGTGTGGGGCCTCAGCATCATGAGCAGCCACCGTGCGATCCGCACTTCCTCAGGGGCTGACGCCGCGGGCAGGGCGGGAAACATGAATAATTTAAAGAGGGCCTGTGCCGAGGCACAAATTCTTTATCAAGGGTGTGTGTGTGTGTGTGTGTGTGTGCGCACGTGCGCAAACCTGAGACTAGACAAGTGTTCTTGCAGTGTACTACATTCTCCAGACTTGTAGGTGGCAACTGAGCAAAGACTTGAATGAAGGGGAGAGAGCGGAGCCAGCAGCCGGTACAAAGGCCCCGGGGCAGGAAGGAGCTGGGTGTGCTCCAGGCCCTCAGCCTTCCTGGCCAGTGAGGACGCAGCGTGCCCTCAGTCCCCGCTTCGTAGGAAAGCTTGTGAATTCACCATTTCTTTGCATATCTTCATGCCAGTCCTTTGGCTCTGGCACTCAGGGAGACAGGAACCCCAGCCTGGCCCCATGTTTGGTCCTGACAAACCAGTTACCCTCACTTGGGAGGTGGTGAGGCTGCGAGACCCAACCTCCCCCCTCCCCACAGTGCACAACGGGGAAACTGAGGCATCCAGAGTCCTGGGCTTGTCTGAGCACATCCCACAGGGCCTCACGGGTGGAAGGACTGGTACTAAAGGTGGCCAGTCCCTCCCTGGAGCCTCTCCCCAGCACGGGGGTGTCGGGGCCTCTGGAAAGGCCCGGGAGGCGGGCGGTACCCTGTGGGGCCGGGGCAGGAACTCACCGCTGATGGTGATGCCCAGCTCCACCCCGCGCCTCTTGGGCAGCTTCACGTGGAAGGTCCCGCTGCTGGGGATGACAGACTCTGCAGACCGCGGGGACAAGGAGGGACAGCAGTGACGGTGCTGGCCCGGCCAGAGGGCCCCCGACGGCCGCCCCGGCCCAGCACGCCCCAACAGGTGAGGGAGGCGAATCCCACAGGGCTGACGGGTTCTGGTGAGGGCAGAGTCAGTACTGGACCCCAGACCCAAGATGCGCTGCCCAGCGTGGGGGGGGACCCCAGACCCAAGATGCGCTGCCCAGCATGGGGGGGGGACCCCAGACCCAAGATGCGCTGCCCAGCGTGGTGTGGGGGGGAGCCCAGACCCAAGATGCGCTGCCCAGCGTGGTGTGGGGGGGACCCCAGACCCAAGATGCGCTGCCCAGCGTGGTGTGGGGGACCCCAGACCCAAGATGCGCTGCCCAGCGTGGTGTGGGGGACCCCAGACCCAAGATGCGCTGCCCAGCGTGGTGTGTGGGGGGGACCCCAGACCCAAGATGCGCTGCCCAGCGTGGTGTGTGGGGGGGACCCCAGACCCAAGATGCGCTGCCCAGCGTGGTGTGGGGGAGCCCAGACCCAAGATGCGCTGCCCAGCGTGGTGTGGGGGACCCCAGACCCAAGATGCGCTGCCCAGCGTGGGGGGGGGACCCCAGACCCAAGATGCGCTGCCCAGCGTGGGGGGGGGGTCCCCAGACCCAAGATGCGCTGCCCAGCGTGGGGGGGGACCCCAGACCCAAGATGCGCTGCCCAGCATGGGGGGGGACCCCAGACCCAAGATGCGCTGCCCAGCGTGGGGGGGGGACCCCAGACCCAAGATGCGCTGCCCAGCGTGGGGGGGGGACCCCAGACCCAAGATGCGCTGCCCAGCGTGGGGGGGGACCCCAGACCCAAGATGCGCTGCCCAGCGTGGGGGGGGGGACCCCAGACCCAAGATGCGCTGCCCAGCGTGGTGTGGGGGACCCCAGACCCAAGATGCGCTGCCCAGCGTGGTGTGGGGGGGACCCCAGACCCAAGATGCGCTGCCCAACATGGTGTGGGGGGGACCCCAGACCCAAGATGCGCTGCCCAGCGTGGTGTGGGGGACCCCAGACCCAAGATGCGCTGCCCAGCGTGGTGTGGGGGGGGAGCCCAGACCCAAGATGCGCTGCCCAGCGTGGTGTGGGGGAGCCCAGACCCAAGATGCGCTGCCCAGCGTGGTGTGGGGGGAAGCCCAGACCCAAGATGCGCTGCCCAGCGTGGGGGGGGACCCCAGACCCAAGATGCGCTGCCCAGCGTGGTGTGGGGGGGACCCCAGACCCAAGATGCGCTGCCCAGCGTGGTGTGGGGGGGAGCCCAGACCCAAGATGCGCTGCCCAGCGTGGTGTGGACCCTAGACCCAAGATGCGCTGCCCAGCGTGGGGGGGGACCCCAGACCCAAGATGCGCTGCCCAGCGTGGTGTGGGGGGAAGCCCAGACCCAAGATGCGCTGCCCAGCGTGGTGTGGGGGGGACCCCAGACCCAAGATGCGCTGCCCAGCGTGGTGTGGGGGACCCCAGACCCAAGATGCGCTGCCCAGCGTGGTGTGGACCCCAGACCCAAGATGCGCTGCCCAGCGTGGTGTGGGGGACCCCAGACCCAAGATGCGCTGCCCAGCGTGGTGTGGACCCCAGACCCAAGATGCACTGCCCAGCGTGGTGTGGGGGACCCCAGACCCAAGATGCGCTGCCCAGCGTGGTGTGGCGGAGCCCAGACCCAAGATGCGCTGCCCAGCGTGGTGTGGGGGGGACCCCAGACCCAAGATGCGCTGCCCAGCGTGGTGTGGGGGGGACCCCAGACCCAAGATGCGCTGCCCAACGTGGTGTGGGGGACCCCAGACCCAAGATGTGCTGCCCAGCGTGGTGTGGGGGGGACCCCAGACCCAAGATGCGCTGCCCAGCGTGGTGTGGGGGAGCCCAGACCCAAGATGCGCTGCCCAGCGTGGTGTGGGGGGGGGAGCCCAGACCCAAGATGCGCTGCCCAGCGTGGTGTGGGGGACCCCAGACCCAAGATGCGCTGCCCAGCGTGGTGTGGGGGACCCCAGACCCAAGATGCGCTGCCCAGCGTGGTGTGGGGGACCCCAGACCCAAGATGCGCTGCCCAGCGTGGTGTGGGGGACCCCAGACCCAAGATGCACTGCCCAGCGTGGTGTGGGGGGGACCCCAGACCCAAGATGCGCTGCCCAGCGTGGTGTGGGGGGGACCCCAAACCCAAGATGCGCTGCCCAGCGTGGTGTGGGGGAGCCCAGACCCAAGATGCGCTGCCCAGCGTGGTGTGGGGGACCCCAGACCCAAGATGCGCTGCCCAGCGTGGGGGGGGGACCCCAGACCCAAGATGCGCTGCCCAGCGTGGGGGGGGGACCCCAGACCCAAGATGCACTGCCCAGCGTGGGGGGGGGACCCCAGACCCAAGATGCGCTGCCCAGCATGGGGGGGGACCCCAGACCCAAGATGCGCTGCCCAGCGTGGGGGGGGGACCCCAGACCCAAGATGCGCTGCCCAGCGTGGGGGGGGACCCCAGACCCAAGATGCGCTGCCCAGCGTGGGGGGGACCCCAGACCCAAGATGCGCTGCCCAGCGTGGGGGGGGACCCCAGACCCAAGATGCGCTGCCCAGCGTGGTGTGGGGGACCCCAGACCCAAGATGCGCTGCCCAGCGTGGTGTGGGGGGGACCCCAGACCCAAGATGCGCTGCCCAGCATGGTGTGGGGGGGACCCCAGACCCAAGATGCGCTGCCCAGCGTGGTGTGGGGGACCCCAGACCCAAGATGCGCTGCCCAGCGTGGTGTGGGGGGGGAGCCCAGACCCAAGATGCGCTGCCCAGCGTGGTGTGGGGGAGCCCAGACCCAAGATGCGCTGCCCAGCGTGGTGTGGGGGGAAGCCCAGACCCAAGATGCGCTGCCCAGCGTGGGGGGGACCCCAGACCCAAGATGCGCTGCCCAGCGTGGTGTGGGGGGGACCCCAGACCCAAGATGCGCTGCCCAGCGTGGTGTGGGGGGGAGCCCAGACCCAAGATGCGCTGCCCAGCGTGGTGTGGACCCCAGACCCAAGATGCGCTGCCCAGCGTGGGGGGGGACGCCAGACCCAAGATGCGCTGCCCAGCGTGGTGTGGGGGGAAGCCCAGACCCAAGATGCGCTGCCCAGCGTGGTGTGGGGGGGACCCCAGACCCAAGATGCGCTGCCCAGCGTGGTGTGGGGGACCCCAGACCCAAGATGCGCTGCCCAGCGTGGTGTGGACCCCAGACCCAAGATGCGCTGCCCAGCGTGGTGTGGGGGACCCCAGACCCAAGATGCGCTGCCCAGCGTGGTGTGGACCCCAGACCCAAGATGCACTGCCCAGCGTGGTGTGGGGGACCCCAGACCCAAGATGCGCTGCCCAGCGTGGTGTGGGGGAGCCCAGACCCAAGATGCGCTGCCCAGCGTGGTGTGGGGGGGACCCCAGACCCAAGATGCGCTGCCCAGCGTGGTGTGGGGGGGACCCCAGACCCAAGATGCGCTGCCCAACGTGGTGTGGGGGACCCCAGACCCAAGATGCGCTGCCCAGCGTGGTGTGGGGGGGACCCCAGACCCAAGATGCGCTGCCCAGCATGGTGTGGGGGGGACCCCAGACCCAAGATGCGCTGCCCAGCGTGGTGTGGGGGACCCCAGACCCAAGATGCGCTGCCCAGCGTGGTGTGGGGGGGACCCCAGACCCAAGATGCGCTGCCCAGCATGGTGTGGGGGGGACCCCAGACCCAAGATGCGCTGCCCAGCGTGGTGTGGGGGACCCCAGACCCAAGATGCGCTGCCCAGCGTGGTGTGGGGGGGGAGCCCAGACCCAAGATGCGCTGCCCAGCGTGGTGTGGGGGAGCCCAGACCCAAGATGCGCTGCCCAGCGTGGTGTGGGGGGAAGCCCAGACCCAAGATGCGCTGCCCAGCGTGGGGGGGGACCCCAGACCCAAGATGCGCTGCCCAGCGTGGTGTGGGGGGGACCCCAGACCCAAGATGCGCTGCCCAGCGTGGTGTGGGGGGGAGCCCAGACCCAAGATGCGCTGCCCAGCGTGGTGTGGACCCTAGACCCAAGATGCGCTGCCCAGCGTGGGGGGGGACCCCAGACCCAAGATGCGCTGCCCAGCGTGGTGTGGGGGGAAGCCCAGACCCAAGATGCGCTGCCCAGCGTGGTGTGGGGGGGACCCCAGACCCAAGATGCGCTGCCCAGCGTGGTGTGGGGGACCCCAGACCCAAGATGCGCTGCCCAGCGTGGTGTGGACCCCAGACCCAAGATGCGCTGCCCAGCGTGGTGTGGGGGACCCCAGACCCAAGATGCGCTGCCCAGCGTGGTGTGGACCCCAGACCCAAGATGCACTGCCCAGCGTGGTGTGGGGGACCCCAGACCCAAGATGCGCTGCCCAGCGTGGTGTGGCGGAGCCCAGACCCAAGATGCGCTGCCCAGCGTGGTGTGGGGGGGACCCCAGACCCAAGATGCGCTGCCCAGCGTGGTGTGGGGGGGACCCCAGACCCAAGATGCGCTGCCCAACGTGGTGTGGGGGACCCCAGACCCAAGATGCGCTGCCCAGCGTGGTGTGGGGGGGACCCCAGACCCAAGATGCGCTGCCCAGCGTGGTGTGGGGGAGCCCAGACCCAAGATGCGCTGCCCAGCGTGGTGTGGGGGGGGGAGCCCAGACCCAAGATGCGCTGCCCAGCGTGGTGTGGGGGACCCCAGACCCAAGATGCGCTGCCCAGCGTGGTGTGGGCGACCCCAGACCCAAGATGCGCTGCCCAGCGTGGTGTGGGGGACCCCAGACCCAAGATGCGCTGCCCAGCGTGGTGTGGGGGACCCCAGACCCAAGATGCACTGCCCAGCGTGGTGTGGGGGGGACCCCAGACCCAAGATGCGCTGCCCAGCGTGGTGTGGGGGGGACCCCAAACCCAAGATGCGCTGCCCAGCGTGGTGTGGGGGAGCCCAGACCCAAGATGCGCTGCCCAGCGTGGTGTGGGGGACCCCAGACCCAAGATGCGCTGCCCAGCGTGGGGGGGGGACCCCAGACCCAAGATGCGCTGCCCAGCGTGGGGGGGGACCCCAGACCCAAGATGCACTGCCCAGCGTGGGGGGGGGACCCCAGACCCAAGATGCGCTGCCCAGCATGGGGGGGGACCCCAGACCCAAGATGCGCTGCCCAGCGTGGGGGGGGGACCCCAGACCCAAGATGCGCTGCCCAGCGTGGGGGGGGACCCCAGACCCAAGATGCGCTGCCCAGCGTGGGGGGGACCCCAGACCCAAGATGCGCTGCCCAGCGTGGGGGGGACCCCAGACCCAAGATGCGCTGCCCAGCGTGGTGTGGGGGACCCCAGACCCAAGATGCGCTGCCCAGCGTGGTGTGGGGGGGACCCCAGACCCAAGATGCGCTGCCCAGCGTGGTGTGGGGGGGACCCCAGACCCAAGATGCGCTGCCCAGCGTGGTGTGGGGGACCCCAGACCCAAGATGCGCTGCCCAGCGTGGTGTGGGGGGGGAGCCCAGACCCAAGATGCGCTGCCCAGCGTGGTGTGGGGGAGCCCAGACCCAAGATGCGCTGCCCAGCGTGGTGTGGGGGGAAGCCCAGACCCAAGATGCGCTGCCCAGCGTGGGGGGGACCCCAGACCCAAGATGCGCTGCCCAGCGTGGTGTGGGGGGGACCCCAGACCCAAGATGCGCTGCCCAGCGTGGTGTGGGGGGGAGCCCAGACCCAAGATGCGCTGCCCAGCGTGGTGTGGACCCCAGACCCAAGATGCGCTGCCCAGCGTGGGGGGGGACGCCAGACCCAAGATGCGCTGCCCAGCGTGGTGTGGGGGGAAGCCCAGACCCAAGATGCGCTGCCCAGCGTGGTGTGGGGGGGACCCCAGACCCAAGATGCGCTGCCCAGCGTGGTGTGGGGGACCCCAGACCCAAGATGCGCTGCCCAGCGTGGTGTGGACCCCAGACCCAAGATGCGCTGCCCAGCGTGGTGTGGGGGACCCCAGACCCAAGATGCGCTGCCCAGCGTGGTGTGGACCCCAGACCCAAGATGCACTGCCCAGCGTGGTGTGGGGGACCCCAGACCCAAGATGCGCTGCCCAGCGTGGTGTGGGGGAGCCCAGACCCAAGATGCGCTGCCCAGCGTGGTGTGGGGGGGACCCCAGACCCAAGATGCGCTGCCCAGCGTGGTGTGGGGGGGACCCCAGACCCAAGATGCGCTGCCCAACGTGGTGTGGGGGACCCCAGACCCAAGATGCGCTGCCCAGCGTGGTGTGGGGGGGACCCCAGACCCAAGATGCGCTGCCCAGCGTGGTGTGGGGGAGCCCAGACCCAAGATGCGCTGCCCAGCGTGGTGTGGGGGGGGGAGCCCAGACCCAAGATGCGCTGCCCAGCGTGGTGTGGGGGACCCCAGACCCAAGATGCGCTGCCCAGCGTGGTGTGGGGGACCCCAGACCCAAGATGCGCTGCCCAGCGTGGTGTGGGGGACCCCAGACCCAAGATGCACTGCCCAGCGTGGTGTGGGGGGGACCCCAGACCCAAGATGCGCTGCCCAGCGTGGTGTGGGGGGGACCCCAGACCCAAGATGCGCTGCCCAGCGTGGTGTGGGGGACCCCAGACCCAAGATGCGCTGCCCAGCGTGGTGTGGGGGGGACCCCAGACCCAAGATGCGCTGCCCAGCGTGGTGTGGGGGGGACCCCAGACCCAAGATGCGCTGCCCAGCGTGGTGTGGGACCCCAGACCCAAGATGCGCTGCCCAGCGTGGTGTGGGGGACCCCAGACCCAAGATGCGCTGCCCAGCGTGGTGTGGGACCCCAGACCCAAGATGCGCTGCCCAGCGTGGTGTGGGGGACCCCAGACCCAAGATGCGCTGCCCAGCGTGGTGTGGGGGGGACCCCAGACCCAAGATGCGCTGCCCAGCGTGGTGTGGGGGGGACCCCAGACCCAAGATGCGCTGCCCAGCGTGGTGTGGGGGGGACCCCAGACCCAAGATGCGCTGCCCAGCGTGGCGAGTGTGAGTGTGTTGGGGGGTGGAGGGTTACAGCCAAATCAACTGGGCGCAGGTTTGCCAGGCCTGGCCTGAGGGCTGTAGGGAATTCTAGCTGCTATTTCACAGATGGGGAAACTGAGGGAGTGGGAGGAAGCGATCGGTGCGCGCAGAGGAGGCCGCGGCAGCAGGGAAGGGCTCTTTCCACTCACCCGCCACGTCGAACTCCACCTCCAGTAGCACCTTTCGGGCCAGCGCGGCGTCCCGGAGCAGCTGGTTGGCTTCCTCCATGGTCCTGTCCTCGGTGGCAACGCCATTGATGGACAGGACGCGATCCCCGACCTGCAGCAGCCCACACCTGCCCCAGAGAGGCCGGGGCAGCACCGTCAGGAGGCCAGGGGCACCCGCAGAGCAGGGCGGGGCTCAGCGCAGGCCCAGCTCCGCCCTATCCGAGGGTGTGACTCTGCCTCAGTCTCTCTGTCTGTCCACTGGGGGAGAGCGGTGACTTCACAAGGTGTACAGACTTCAAGGGGTTGAAGCCTGAGGGCCTTAGCTGCCCCGAGGGGCTGGCGGCGGGGTGGACGCGGTCCCAGTGGGGTGGACGCGGTGGGAGGGCGCGGGCTGGGGATGTGAGCGGTTCGCTGGCCGGGGCGGGTGGGGCCGGCTCACCTCTCGGCCGGGCTGTCGGGCTCGATGAAGCGGACCAGGGGTGGCGAGGACAGGGTCTCGGTGGTGAAGACGCCGCCTTGCAGCTGCAGGCCGAAGCCGCTGAGGGGGTCTCCGCACAGCACCACCTCCGTGGTCTCGGCATGCACGATCTGCCCGCCCGGCCCCACCGTGGAGGCCAGCGACACTGCGGACGGACAGACAGAGCTGCCCGCCCCGGTCTGGAGCGTCCTGACTCCACGCGGCCTGGGGATGGACGGGTCCCCGCGCTCCCTGCCTCGGTTTCCCCACCTCTACAATGGGGTTTGGGTTCCGGGCGGGGAGGGGAAGACGAGGAAGCCCGCGCAGGGGAGCGCGGCCGGCTTACGTGAGCTGCGGTGCTCCCTCCTCCGCGGCCTCCTCCGCGCGGCCGCCGGCCGGGGGCTGGCGGGCTGGGCCCCGCGGGCCAGGGTGCTGGCGTTGGCGCAGGGAAAGGTGTGGTTCATGGTGGGTGAGGAAAAGGGGGTGGAAGACAAGGCTGGGGAGAGGAAGGGGCACAGCCGGTGAACCCCACAGAGCTCCAGCCTGCCTGGCCCGGAGAGAGCGGGCGCCCATGCCCTGCGACAGGACCCTCTGTCCCCGGCCCCGTGCCCTCCCACGGGACCCTCTGTCCCCTGGCCCCGTGCCCTGCGACGGGACCCTCTGTCCCCCGGCCCCGTGCCCTCCCACGGGACCCTCTGTCCCCGGCCCCGTGCCCTCCCACAGGACCCTCTGTCCCCCGGCCCCGTGCCCTCCCACGGGACCCTCTGTCCCCGGCCCCGTGCCCTCCCACGGGACCCTCTGTCCCCGGCCCCGTGCAGTATCAGGGCGGTATTTTCAGCCCTGGTGTCCTCCGAGGCACAGCTCCCCCCTCCCCCTCCCCCAGGAAGGGTGCAGGCCGTTGGGAGCAGGGGACTTACACCGGCTGTGGTCCTGGCCCAGGGGCGCGGCCCAGGGCGGCGGTGTGCGGCAGGGTCCGGGCCTCGGGCTGGGGCAGGAGGGCCGGCCGGGGTCCCAGCCCCGCTCGCTCCTCTGCACCCGCACTGTGTGCACAGGGGAACGGGAGGGGGTGGAGGCCCGGCCGGGCTGCGTCCTCCATGCCCGCACCCCTGCTGCACCCCGGTGGCTGCTCTCCGGGCCCTCCGGGGACCCCCTCTCTCCCCCTGCCTGGACCTGCACACCCCTCCTCCAGGCCTGTCCTGCCTGTTCTGCTCCTCTCTGTCTGGCCCAGGGCAGCAGCAGGAGGACTCAGCTTCCCTGCTCTCTCCTCCTCGTCCTGTGGGACATGGGCAGCTCTGGAGCCAACTGGGGCAGAGAGCCTGCTCCATTGCTGACCTGCTGTGTGACCTGCACTAGTCACTTGATCTCTCTGTGCTTCATTCATAAATAGGACCCAGAGAGGAGTGGCCTCCCGGGGTCACGCGAGACTTAACGCCAGTTGAATGGGTGCGGACGATGTGCTGACGCAGGGCTCAGCCTTGGCGTCTTGCATCTAAGGAGCCCCAGCTTCTGGCCACACGGACTCCATTCCTCCCGGCCTCCCGACCTCTGCTGCCTCCACTTCTCCATGCAGTGTGCTAGCGGTAGCCACAGACAGTCCCTCGGGCTGCTCAGCCTCGTCCCCTCCCCCGCTGGCCTTGGCTTGGGGCCCTGACCCGGCTGAGGGCCGCACCTGCCTCCAGGGGCCTCGGGGGCCACCGGCCGTGGGGCGCGGGCAAGATCTCCAGCCTCACTTTCTCAGACACGCCCGCCAGGAGCTTGGTGGCCTCGGGCAGCGAGCAGTGCTCCGTGCTGGCGCCGTCGATGGACAGGATGAGGTCTCCGGCGTGCAGGGCGCCGCTCCTGGCCGGGCAGGGGACCGAGCAGGGGTGGGGCCGGCTGAGGAGCCCGAGCCGCCGCCGCCGCCGTTTCCCGGGGCGCCCCTGCGCGCCGCAGAGCCCCCTTACCTGTCCACCACGCTGGCCGGCTTGATGCGGTCCACGGTGATGACCGGCTTGTTCCGGTGGGAGCCGGTGGTGAGGGAGAGCCCCAGCGTGGACCCCGGTGTCTTGGCGATCTCCACCACCAAGGGCCCCGAAGCCTGGGCCACCGTGTCTGGCACCGCGGACAGGAGGGTTGGAGGGCAGCCATCCTGGGTTCCCCTCCCCGGCCACGCGCGCGCTCGCTGCCCAGGCTGGGGCACGGCCATGCCCAGGGGCTCGGACGCCTCAGGGCAGCCGGGAGACGCCCAGGGGGCCGGGCGTGGGGGGTTGGAACCCCCGTGCCGGCATCTCCCTCCACCCCTCTGACAGCACCCTGCACGCGGAGTGCTCCCGCTCAGGCCCAGCCTTCCGGTGCTCCTGGCACCCCGCCTCTCTGCCCTTGCGGCGGCAGCCCGGCCAGCCCTGTCCTCAGCTGTAATTACCCTCCCCCCCCCCCCCCCCGCTCCATCTGCTGCCGGCCTCCTCGCTGGCACACCGACGTGCCAGCCCGTCTCCTACCTCGGGGCCTTGGCGCTCCCCATTCATCTACCTCCCGCTGTCCCCTCCCGCGGCCCTGGGACATATATTCTGCTAACTGATCTTCTCCCCTGCAGGTGTCCACTCCAGGAGACTAGGGGCCTGCTCTGGTCCCCAGGGCCTTAAACAATGCCCAGCACGTAGTGTCTGTGGCTTAGAGAGGCTCAGAAAGGCCGAGCGACTGGGCCAAGGCCGCACAGCCCCTACTCATCCCTCTCGGCCCTCCCTCCGGACGCTGACGTACCCGGGGTGACCACGTCGTACTCCACCTGGAAGAGGGCCTCGTGGCCGCACTGGCGGAGCGCGGCCAGGGCGGCGGCATGGCTAGCCCCGTGCAGGGGGGTCCCGTCCACACCGAGCAGCCTGTCACCCACCTTCAAGGAGCCTTCCCTGTGGGGCGGGGGCCGGGCTCAGAGGACGGAGGAGGACAGAGCTCCTTCAGGGCCAAGCACAGAGCGGGCGGGGGACAGGGTCCAGAGAGGGTGGCGGCCGGGCGGGGCCACACACAGCACAGGGGGGGAGGGGAGGGGGGAGGGCACTCCGGCCCCTCCCTGCTTCCCGGGCCCGGGAGACCGGCCTGGGAACACACTGGCCTCTCCCCCGCGTGTGCCAGCCCACCCCGGAACGCCAGCGACAGGTGCCAGCGCTATTTTAGAAGCTTCTAGGAATAGCTCACTCAGGCCTATCCCAGGGACAGATTTAGGTCTGGGACAAGCCTGGGCCAGGAGGACTGTCCCGTCAGGGGGTCAGGGGTCAGGGGCGGGACTCTGACACATTCCTTCCCCACATCCTGTCCTCCAGGCCAGGCCTCACCAGGCTCTGCCCCTGGCTGCCCTGGGGGGGGGGGGGTCCCTCCCGGCCTGGGGCTGCTCAGCCACGGGGGTGGGGGGGGTCAGCTCACCTGTCTGCGGGGCCGCCTGGCCGCACGTAGGTCAGGACGAGCGGCCGGGATTTGTGCACATCTTCGTGAGCACCTCCTGGCCGGAAGTCAACAGAGGGGGGACGGTGGGGCGCGCCTACCTGCCGCCCCCGCCCCCGCCAGCCCGAGCAGCCCCCAGTAACACCACGCACCGCCCCCCCCCCCCCCCGGGCTCCTTCTCATCTCACTCCATGCAGCGCCTCGGGCATGGCCTGGCACGGGCCTTCAAGGTCAGAAGTGATCAGATCTACACTGTGCTCGTTCGCGTGGGAACCAGGCACCCAGGAAACGAGCCCCGGCCTCCCTCCCCCCCGGCTCCCCCCCGGCCTCCCTCCCCCCGGCCTTCCTCCCCCCGGCCTCCCTCCCCCGGCCTCCCTCCCGGCCTCTCCCCCCCCAGCCTCCCCCCTCCCACCCTTGGGCTCCACGGGCGTCCCCCCTGACCTCTGAGGACGAAGCCGAAGCTGCTGCCCTCCTTGTGGAGGGCGACGTCCGCTGTCTTGGAGACGATCCTCGGGTTGTTCTCGGGCGCTGTGGAGAGACGGAGGCCTCCCTTGAGCCCCTGCCGCCTGTCCAAGCCCGCAGAGGAACCCAAAGCTCATTCCAGGAGGGCGGAGGGACGGGCCCGGGACTCCGAGGAGGAGACCCTCTCTCCACTTCACGGCCGGGTGGTGAGGCTCAGAGCGCCGCTCTTCCCCAGGGCCCACCTGGTCCTCACTCAGACAGAAGATGGCCGAGGCCGGGCTTGTGGCTTGAGGGTGTTGGGGATGGGGGGACTTGGGCCCAAGGTCAGTTCCAGAGTCACTCAGAGCTTGACATTAGGCTAACTTTGAACTCGGGGTAACCCAGCCTACGTCCTCATAGTAGGGTGTGGGGGCCCCAGGCCAGGGGAGGGGCTTCTAACTACACAGACGACAGGAGGTCCGGGATGGGGGTCCCCGCCGGGTGCCCTCGGCAGGGTAGGGACGCTGGGCACGGCCCACCCTAGCTGGCGTGGTCCCGTCACCCAGACCCCAGTGGGGAGGCCGCTGTGTCCCCCCAGGCCGGGCATGGAGGCAGTTCCCGTCCGCGGGCACCCACCGGGCGGGGGCAGCTCATACTCCACCTCCAGCACCACGCGCTCGCCCACGTTCTTGAGCAGGGTGATGATGTCATCGTGGCTCAGCCTGGTCACGTGGATCCCGTTCACCGAGCGGATGTAGTCGCCCACGTTCAGCAGGTCGCTCCTGGAGTGAGCGGCGGAGCACATGTGTGCCCGGGGTGGGGGGGGGGGACCTCACTTTCTAGTGACAGCTCTGGGCACCCGGGGCTAGTCTGGAGAATGGCCCGGCCGTCCTGGCCTGTGGTCTTCCCTCCGGCCATTCCTGCCCGATCCTGAAATCCTCTGCCGGGCTCAGCTGCTCAGAGAGGCCGCGCTGGGCAGAGCCAGGCTCCTGGCCTCGGGGGCAAAGGGGAGCGCAGAAACGAAAGGCAGGGACCGCGGAAGGCGGCCCCAGAGCTACCCACGAGGCTGTGTGCACACAGCACCACGCCGATTGGGACGGGCGTCCGTGGGCTTCCCCGAGGCGGGGGTCTCTGGGTGCACGGGCGTCTGGGGGGGTGGGGCTGTAGGGAGCAGCACAGAGGATCAAGCCATCTTGAGGAAAGGACAGCCGGGAGAGGGTGGGCGGGGAGATGCTTGGCCTAAGGGGGCAGGAGGGGCCGGGCCCTGGAAAGGGCATCCTGAAAACACCCACCTCACCGCCCATCTTCCCCGCGCTCTCACCTGGCTGCCAGCCCCCCGGGCCTCAGGCTGGAGACTCTGGGCTTGCCGTCCTTGTCCGTGCCCCCCGAGATGGTGAGGCCCAGCGTGCTGCCTTCCTTCTTGAGCAGCTCCACCACGGTGACCCCCCGGAACTCCTCTGCGGCAGATGGAGGGCCAGCGGTCAGCCCTGCCTGCCCCGTGCTCACCCGAGACCGCACGGGTCTCGGGACTCCGGCTGCCTGACCGCACAGCCAGAGGGAGGGAGGGGGCCTGGGTACCTGGAATGCTCTGCCGCCGGCTGGCCAGGGCCGCGTCCCCTCCCGCGTCCTTGCTTCCTTTGGAGTAAGGCCCATCATCTGTGGGGATAAAGAGGGACGCGGCCTGAGCCACCTGCCTTTCCTCCCGACGCCCCTCCGTCTGGGCGCTTCTGCGGGGTGCTGGTCCCACCCCCGTCCTCTGCCCGGGCCTCCTCTCTTCCTGTCGGGGCTGAGTCACTCGGATTCGGCGCCCGCCGTGTGCCAGAGCTGTGTGACACGGTGGTCTCTTTTCTTTTTGTTTTGGGCTGATCCTGGGGTTTGCACTCACTCGGCTGGGGCTCGGAGTTATGCCTCCTACCCAGCTTTTGGCTGGTTAATTGAGATGCAGTCCCATGGATTTTTTGGCCCAGGCTGCCTTCAAACCTTGATCCTCAGGCCTCAGCCTCCCCCGTAGCTAGGATTACAGGCGTGAGCCCACCGGTGCCCGGCGGTTGGTGGTTGGGCAGCTCCATTGCCGTGAGTGTGATCATTATTAATCAGGGGTGGTATCATTCCACTACACAGATACAAGGCTGTGGCTCAGAGATGGACCACACGTGGGCTGGGCCAGCTGTGGAGGTCTGCCGTCTGGCTTAGAACCAGGCCCATTGCCCCGTCCATCCCAAGCCTGAGGCCCACTGGCTGCTAGGACTGCCCCAGCTGGCAGGTGGCAGAGGCCCTGCAGCCGGCCTCGGCCAGGCCTGTCCATGAGGGGTGGGATCGGTTAGGGCTGAGGGTCACCGCTGGGGCTCAGCCACCGTCAGGACGGGACTCTGTCCACAGCAGGCTTCTCCACTGCAAGCGCAGTTATTATTATGTTTTATTTTTACTTTTTTGCTGGACCTGAAACTGGAACGCAGCGTCTGGGTGCTGTCCCTGAGCGTTTGCACTTCTGGCTTTGGCTTTTTTATTTTTCCTGATTAATTGGAGATAAGAGTCTCAGACTTTCTTGCCCTGGGCTGACTTTGAACCTTGATCCTCAGATCTCAGCCTCCTGAGTAGCTAGGATCTCAGGTGTGAGCCACCAACGCCAGCTACCGAGGGTTTTTGTTGGTTTTTTTGCTAGCCGATTCCTTGCTCTGAGGGGGTGGCGGTTCTCTTCATGGTGGGAACTTAGGCAGTGCCCCCGGCTTCTAAACCCCAGTGGCCCCAGACATTGCCAAGTGTTCCCTGGGGAGCACTCTCTGGACTGTGAGCCAGGGGCAGGGCCTGCCTGGGGAAGGGCTCCTTTTGGGCAAGGAAGGGCAGAGTTTGGCCTGGGGAAATGGGCGTGGCTTGGCCTGAGAATGGGCGTGGCTCAGCCAGGGGCTATGAGAATTTCCTGCGTCTTCCCTTTGACCACTGCCTGCCGCCCCCCAGCTCCCCAGTCGCTCTGCCACAGCCAGTCACTGGCTCCCTTTGCCTGTCCTAAGCTGCTAAATAGCCAAACAAATAGCAGTTGAGCTCAGAATCCTTTCCAGGCCCCCTGGGGTAGGGTACCCGCAGCGCTGCACACTCCTTTTTCCAGATCCTGGTTCTGATCAGCTGCCAATTCAGGCAACACCCTATTAAGTATAATGCTCCTGTCACAGTTCCTTAATACGCCCTTCCTCCAGATTCAACAAGATGATTCTGAGCCAATAAAATGAGAAAGGCTGCGTGACCGTGTTTCCGAGGGCCACTCGGAAATTAGATGTCTTACACCATGTAAATTAGCTCCTGCCACAGGCAAATCCCTCCCACCCCAGACCGACCCCGGATGGGCCCCGGAAGGGGTGCGGGTAACGGGGGGGGGCGGGCTTGGGGGCTAACTTCCCAGGAAAGGTCAAGGAACTGAGGACCCCACTGGCCAAATGCAGAGAGCAGATTCCCAAAGAACGGAGTGCAGTGTGACTGGGCAGGCGTGTGTAGGCCGAGTTCTGCTCCCGATAATGAACACAAAGGAACTGTAAACCCAGACCGAGGCGATGGGACCCCCCAAGGCTGGCCACTGAGGCTGGACAGATGGCTGTTGAAGGACGACACCCCTTCCCTGGGCATCGGACGGTGGCCTCCATCTTTCCTCATTCAATCCTCACCTAGTTGCCCGTCTGCCTGTGTGACCCCGTCTCTGTTCCTCTCTCTGTAAGATGGAGGGGTCTCTCCTCTCGCTGAGGACAGGTGGCTGGAGCTTGGGGGGGTCACTTGGCTTGCATGTAATCCCTGTGGGGTGCAGACCCCAGGGCCTCCCCTCAGCAAATATGAGCCCCCTCCCACTCTCGGTTTTTGTTCTGGGACCTAGTAATTACATGCTTAGAGATGAAGGCTTTTCAAAAACATCTTTCCCCCCAATTTTCAGCTGGAAACGTGCACAAAAAACAGGGATATTTTTATCCAGTTCTTTTTTTTTTTTTTTTTTGGTCTCCTCCTTCCGGTAATGGGCAATGATACACTCTGCCTTCATTCACCCCGTGCCGAAAGAACTCGCTTCAGAGAGGAATTTGCTTCTGCAGCCATTCCAGACAGCGTCAGGACGCGGGGTTGGAGGGGACAGCACCCACACCACCGCGGCCTGCAGGCCGGGCCCTGCCCGCTGTGGATGGCTGGACCAGGGAGGGGTCGCTCCCCATCTGAATTCTCTTGAAATTCTCACTAACTTGCCCCCTCCTCCCCGCTCCTGCAGCAGCCCTGGGAAGCCACTGAGCTTTGACAAAGAGGAAGGAAGTCAGTCCCCTGCCAGGCTGCTTTGCCAAGGCCCCGCCTGAGCCGGGTGCCCAGGAAAAGCGGCGGGGCGTTGGGTGGGACTGAAGGGGGGCCCTCAGCGCATGAGAGAGCCCGCAGAGCTCACAGGGGTCCGCAGCCCAACGTGGACAGGCTGGATGGGACCCCTGGCCTGCGGGGAGGGCCGCCCCAGGACCGGGTGCTGACCCGCCCTCAGCCCCCCTCCACCCTTCCCGGGCACGGGTGGGCATTGAGATTCCCAGGGGAGCCCGGGCGACCTCCCCTGGGGTGGCAGCTGTCACTGGTCGTCAGCAAAGGCAGCCAGGACAACCTGGCATTCTGAGAGGTACAGAAGAAGAAGCTGACACAGAGAGGCTAAGTAATAGCCCATGGTAAGGGGCAGAGGTTGTTCTAAGAACCTAATACTAGACCACTTAATCCTTACGATAACCCTTATGATGGTGCCTGCCATCGGCATCCCCATGAGACATGCAGAAACTGAGGCACAGAGAGGTTAAGGGAACTCCCTAGGGACACACAGCTTCCGCCTCAGTCCAAGCAGCACACAGGGCTCTGGGGGCTGAGGAAAATGGAGGCCTGCTCCTGCTCCCCCTCTCCTCCACCCCCTAGAGCGTCCCCTCCCTCCCAGCCACAGCATGGGGCCTGCCTGGCAGCCCGGAGCCCCCACCCCGCCAACAGCCCTCCCCTCGGCAGGGCCAGGGCGGCCCGCACCTCACAGGAGGGGCACAGGCCGGACAGGCTGCGTGCTGGGTCCTCTCCCGTTTTCCAAGGGGGCCGCCCGCAGCAGGGGGAGGACGGCAGAAGCCCCCATGGGACAGAACAGCGTCACGCCTCATGATCCCACCTCGCCGCGCTCCGCCCTCTCCTGTGCCACTGCAGATGCCTGCTTCCACTTCCACTCTGGACCCTTCTATGTGCCTGCCCCAGGGCCTTCGCACGGGGGGTGACTGTGTGAATGGACTCACCATCCATCAGCACCCCACACACACCTCTGCACTCTCCCTGATCTTATGTTCTATCCGCCTGTGCTTCTAGGACGTCAGAGGGGCGGAGAGGTCTGTCTGCTCCCACCGACGTGAGCACCCAGAACATTGGTGGCACACAGCAAGTGCCCAGCAAATCTTTCTTGGACTCAATTCCCATTACACATGAGCAGGACGGGGATCCGGGCGCTGGAACGGGGTGCCCCAAATCCAAGGAATAGGAAGAAGCACAGCCTGGATTTGAACCCACACCTCCCTGGTCCTGGGCTCCCGGCTGTTAAGCCCTGAGCGCGTGGCCTCTGAAGGATCCCGGGGCGGCCCAGTCCACGGCGAGGTGCTGTGGGTGGAGGAGGGGCGGTGTTGGGCGGACATGCCCTGTCTGAGCTCCCTAGGTCCTCGCTGCCAGCACGTGATGGCTCAGCGGCCTGAGGGGGGGCCAAGCCATCCTTGTGACGGGGAGTGGGAGGAGGCCCGGCCCGCCAGGGGCAGGAGAGCCGAGGCTGGGGTGGGACTTCCTGCCCACCGTGCAGGTCCCAGCCCCAGCCAACCAGGAGGTTGGCCCACCGTGCTGTCCCACAATGCCCCTGGCGCAGCAGAGGTGAGCGAGCTCCCAGGAGGCGCCTGGCCACATCCAGCCCGGGCTGAACGACAGCGCGGGGCCGCCCGTCCCCCAGGCCCAGGCCTCACGGAGGAACACGAGTGGCCCACTTCTCCCGGCCTGCCTTCCTGGTGGGGCGTGGAGGTGGGCAGTGGGCACCTGACAGGGCCGCCGTCCTCCCCAGCTCTAGGGGAGGACACAGGCCCGGCCAATGATGGGTGAGCAAGGGGTGTGTGTCTCACACCGAGCCAATGGCAGCCAGCCCCCGAGAGTAACCGAGTGTGAGCACCGAGCCCTTCCCTCAGGGCTGGCGGCCTTGACGACCCTGCGCTTGAGGAGCCGCCTGGAAATGAAGGCCGGCGGAGACGCGAGCAGCAGCGGAGACCCCGGTTCCTCGTGCTGCAACAGCAGAGACCCCGATTCCTCATGCTGGGTGAGCACCCGGGTCCTGCCGCACCCAAGCTCTAAGTGTGGACTGAAATAAAAAGCAGTCTCGGGAACTGATGTCCGCGGAGGCAGGTGTTAGGGAGGAGACTCCGGGGGCTGCAGGGGCACCCAGCCAGGAGGTGGGGAAAGGCCCTGGGTGCCGGGCTGGGAGTGTGGAGCGCTCCCTCCATGAGCCCCGGTGGAGGCCTGGCTCCACAGACGCGGCCACCGTGACCCCCGCTGGACTCGGGCTGGACGGTGGACTTGGACAGGAGAGGGAACGGCGGCAGTCCCTGTCTGTGCTGTGTCACCATGCATGCCGCTCACCCAGCACAGTGCCTCAGTTTCCCCAACGGTCGAATTAGGATTCTGGTTCCCCCCCCCACCCCATACACACACAGTGCCATTGTAAGGAGAAAGTGACAAAATACACAGAGAGAACTTAGAAAACAGCCTCTCCCAAAGACGGGCAGGCTGCTCCAGAAGGCTGAGGTTGGGGAGATGGACAGACGGATGAGCAGCCAGATGGACGGATGCATGGGGCGGGGAATCACCCCATAATAACCGCCTCTGCCCTGGCCCGGCCTCAGCTGCCGAGGAGCGCAGCGGCGGCTCCCCACCCCTCCGCTGAATTCCTGGATCTCCAGGCCGGCCTCCTGCCCGGTGTGGGGCCGGGACTGGCCTGTCCAGGCCGGAGGGAGGAGTGGGCTGAGCCCGGCACGGTGCAGCCCTGCAAGCCCCAAGGCCTCCTGTGGCCCAGGCTACAACCTTCCAGAGGTGGAGGCACAGAGCGTCCGCCTGGCCCGGGTGCCCTGGCCCCTTCCCGCTGCTGCTCCCCAGACCCACAGCGATGCCGTGGCCATCCTGATCCTCAATGCCCCCCCCCCCCCCCCCCCCCCGTCCAGTGGACACAGCCCCCAGCCCGGCCGTACCTGCTTCTCCAGGGCTGAGCCCGCACAGCATGTGGCCGCTGTCCTGCCGGCTGCCCACCAACTGGAGCTACTCCACGGCCCCCGCCTGGCTCCCTGGGAGGAGCCAGAGGTGAGCCCCCACCCACTGGCCGGCACCGCCGCCACCCTGTGCTGCCCAGGGCTCTGCACTTAAAGGAGACACAGCTGGCGCTGGCTGTTGGCTCCACGGGAGGTCCAAGGCCCCAGCCCCATAGCTGCGGCTGGACAGGGCTCTCAGAGGGTGGCCGCTCTGCGCAGTCCTCCCCGGGATGCCTACAGACACACACCCTACACCCAGGGCTGCTCCTGGCTGCCCTGGGACTCAAACCCATCGCCCTCCCAGGCCTTTGGTTTCAGTCTGGAAATAGTGCTTAAGTCTAAGGTTACTTTGGCACCGGTGGCTCACACCTAGAATCCCAGCTGGGAGGCTGAGAAGGGAGGATGGCAGTTCAAGGCCAGCCCAAGCGGAAAAGCCAGCAAGCCTCCGTCTCCACCGAGGGAAGCTGGCCACACTGGCGGCAGCTCCTCATGCCAGCAAGGACAGGAAGTCTAAAATAGGTGGAATGCGGTCCAGATACACATACCCAAGGGAAATGAGACCATGGCTCCCGGAATGGCCAGGGAAAAACAGGGCTGGAGGTGTGGTTTAGCAGTAGAGTGGCTGCCTTGTCCTGAGTGAGACCCTGAGTTCGAATCCCCTCTCACTAAACAATCCCAGATCTCAGTGAGGTGGCACGGAATCCAGGGTCCCGGCCAGGCAGGGCACCAGGGACCCGGAGGCTGTGTGCAAAGCATGTGCTCACAGCAGCACCCCCTGCCCCCTCCCGGTAGTGAGGCCCTGTCCCCTCACGTCAGGACTGGGGAACATGGCCCCCGTTTGCGGCATGGACTCTCACCAGTACTTTGGGAAGGCCTGCGCGCCGTGCCAGGAGGGAGTCCGCCCACCCCTGGGCTTGACAGGCGGGCGCAGCTGGTCCCAGGCTCCGGGCACAGATGGCAGGCTGCCCCCTGCCTGCCCCAGCCGGGCCTCCCCCCCCCCCCCCCGCCATGGCGGCTCAGGGCTGGCCAGGCAGGTGCTCATGGACACCCCGCCATCTGTCCATGAGAGGAGTGCCGGCGGTACTCACATCCCACCCCGCCACCCCAGGGCAATCACCGCCTGGGCGGGTGCCAGGGAGAAGGGCAGAGTGATAGTTGCCACAAGGTGCTGAAAATGGGGGTGTCCGCACGCAGTGTGCGCCCGTGCGGGGCACCCAGCCAGACGCGGTGAGGCCGGACGAGGGCGCGCTGCCTGTGAGCAAGTCAGGCCCACGTCCTCGTGTCCCGAGGGTCCTCAGAGAGCACGCCTGTGGCTAGGGACCTTCCAGAACAGACCTCAGCTGCCACACCCCGCCTCCCACACGAGGCCAGCACTCAGAGGAATCTGCGGGTCCGAGTCTCCCCCGGCTGCCCCTCCCTGGCGGCCCCTCCCTGCGGCCTTCTTTCCTTGGTGACGTCGTGTGTGTCCTGGGGGGCTGGGGCTGGCTGCTAGGCATGGTTCCCCAACCACCAGGGAGGCCAAAGACCCGAGCCACAGGCACGGGTGCAGCCAGCGGCTCTCAGGAGAGCGTGGCGGGGAGGAGGGCTCCCTGTGGCCATGGGGGGGTGGGGGCGGTACTGGCAAAGAAGACTTTGATCTTTGCCAGGAAATGGGGGGGCCCAGAGCCCTGGCTCATCAGCTCATCAGACAGGAAGGGGGGGGCACCCAACTGCTCCAGCCTCCTGCCTGTGACCCCAACAGAGGACCGTGTGTGTGCGTGTGTGTGTGTGCATGCGTGTGTGTGTGTGCGCGTCTTCAGCTTCACGTCCACCCTTGCTTATTTAGGTTGTTCAATAGTTATTACAAAGGTGATGTACACAGGGGTTCCAGTGACAAAGTCGTTTCTTTTTGGACCACGTCGCCCCTTTCCTCGCTCTCTCCCAGACACCGCCCTTTCTGCTAGGGAAACATTTGCTCTGCACAGGTGCGTGCGAGCGGCTGCGTTTCCGTGTCTCTCTCTCACTCGGCCTTTGGAATTTACCTTTGTGGACGCGAAGCCCTGGAAAGGTCATGCCGTGGATTACCGCAAGGCTTCCGCTCAGCCTTTCTCCAGACGCCTCCACCACCAGGCCCTGGGGGACCTGGACGAGACTGGGAGGAAAACAGGGCCTTCCGCCTGTCCTCCGCCCCCATGGGAACAGGGGTCTAAAAGACGCCATTGCTGAGAAGCACCCACTCCTTAATTCTTGGACCCACGGATGAGCGGGAGAGCTGGCAGCCCTGTCTCCATCTTGCCTCTGTCTTCGTGTAAACCTTCCTCACCGCAGTCACTCTGCAGTCCTTCGGTTCCGGGAAGGACAGGGCCGATCCAGAGTATCTTTATGACAAGGGATGGGAAGGACCCCAGAGAACCGTAGCGCCCCCTCAGGACACAGGGATGACAAGCAACTTCTCCAGAGCCCCTTCCCCCAAAACACCAAGAACGACGGATAATGAGCAAGCAAGCCGAGTTTTCACCTGGACTCCTAAACAATTCTGCACACCGCACGCCACGGCCCCCCATCCTTTGTCTATTTGAACCTACAGCTCATGTCTGTACCCGGAAGACAGCCGAGGATGAACTCAAGCTCCGACTTGGCCTGGATGTTAGAGCCACAGGATAAATCCTCCCCCGCCTCCACCACAGCCGTCGGTCATCTGTCATCCAGGGCAGAGGCACCAAACAGGAGTTGTAGAAGCCCAGGAGTTTCAGCCTGGGGTCTAAAGCTCTGGTTCACCATGAGCCCCACAAAGCACATCTTTACTTGCTTTTATGGAAGTGTGAGCTTGAAATGGCTGTTGGTCCATTTTGTAACAATGCTGGACATACATCCTTGGGCCCAGGGAGGTGAAGCAACTTGCCTGAGGTCACCCAGCCTGTGAGAGTGAAGCCAAGTTCGTACCCCAGATGCCTGGGGCCCGCGTGTGTTCCAGCACTGCCGTGGCCCTCGGGGTTCAAGGGTTCCAAAAGGGAAGCGGGAGCCCAGGAGGGGAGCAGCCTCTCTCGAGAGCGCACGTCGGGCCTGTCACTGCGATCTGTGCCGTTCCCGGAGTCTCCTCTGCTTCCCTCCTGCGTGGGTGCGCGTGGGAGGAGACCTTGGAAAGGCCCTATGGATGGGCGGGTCCTGCTGCAGATGGGGTGCCTGGCCCTACGGTGTCCTGGGCTGCGCTGGGACCGCAGCAGCTGGGAGCCAGTGCTACAGTACCCCGAGGGAACCTGAGGCCCAGAGATGCTATGCCAGAGACCTGGACAGCACAGAGCTGGGCCTGGACCCAGGCCTCTAGAGCAGAGCCCATCACTGCCCCAGACAGCCGTGTCCGGCTGAGTGGCAGCCGGAAATGAAGGCTGGCAGGGAGGAGGGCAGAGATGGCGATCTCAGGAAATGCAAGATAAACCCCTTCGTGCTGTGGGCTGTCAGCCACCTTTCTCCCTCCTTCCTCTCTCCCAGCCCAAGGGCCAGGCCTAGACCATTGCTCCCTCCCGCTTGGACCTCCTCAGATCTTGTATAGCCATGTTGAACATTTCCATATGGTTGGCATTACCGATCCTCACTGTACAGATGGGGAAACTGAGGATCTGTCTGCGATTCCACCAGTCACAGGGGAGGCACGGGCGAGCTGGTGGTGGTGCTGCTGGTCTGGTTCTCATCCCATGTCTTTCCCATCCCCTGGGAATCACTTCAGGGACAGTGCCACCTGAAGACCCACAGAGCTGCCATTCCAGGACTAGCTGCAGAGCCTCAGCCTCAGCCTCAGGAGGCTGAGGTGGAGGACGGGGACCCACCTTCCCTGGGCACTGTTAAGTACAGTTAAGTACTCCTAATGTTCCGCAGAGTTCAAAGGCCCTTAGGGCCCAGCGTCCCTTTCAATGTCCATTTCTCCTTTAAAGAAGCTGAGCTGTGAGGGCAGCGATTTGTGCCCTCACTGACAGCAGTTAGACCTTTACTGCTGCCTCCAGCGGAGGACTGAGGCCCGGCGCCCCGCGGTGGACGCCTCACCACGGCCGGGCCTCCCCGAACCTCCAGAGACCCCGAGGAGGCTGCGCAGCAACCACAGCTGCTCGCTGCCGAGCGCAGCTCCGGCTCCGGAAGGCACCATCCCAGCCACAGCCATTTCCAACAGCTCAGCTCTGTCCTTTCCACTACCACCCTTTCCACCACCACGACTCTGCCACCATTGCCACCCCGGCCAGAGCAGGTGCACTTGTGAAAAACCAATCAATCACAGGCCTCAAGGCCCTCCTCTAAAATACACACAATGAGGGCTGGGAGGTAGCTCAGTGGCACAGCACTTGCCGCTAGGCAAGTCCTGAGTTCAGACCCAGTACCAAAAAAGAAAAAACAAAAATAATAGTTAAAAATAATAATAACTTAAAGATATACACCAGGAAGCAGTTTGCTCCTGTGGGGTGTTTGCTGAGCAGCTCAATGACGGAGCACAGACACCCAGATGTGGCCAGCCGGTCCAAGGCCCTACTCCCTCTCTGGTCACTCATTCTCTCTCAGTACCTGCCAGGAACTAAGCATCGAAGAAAGCAAACAGACCCAGCTCTCCTGCAACTTCCCATCCAGGAGAAGGGCAGAGAGGAAACCAGGGACCCATACAGAGGCAAATATGAGATTGGAGATGAAGGAGGGCTGTAAGAGACACAAGGACAGGGCTGGAGGCAGCAAGAGCCCCTGGGAGGAGGTGACCTTCGAGCTGAGACAGAGGAGGAACAAGGGAAGAGGTTCTAGGCAGATGGGCAGAGTACACGTGGGCAGTCTGGGACAGGCAGGAGTTAGAGCAGCTGAGGTGCAGGTCCACACAGGAGGGCAGGAGAAGAGTCGGGACAATGGTTCCCATTTCAGGCTGAGTCAGCCTGGATCCCACCTCCCACACCCAGGAACAAGTGCTCCCTTCCGTCCGAATGCAAATGCCCGAGGCGGAGGGACGGCACAGCCATTCACGGAGCA